GGCTGCTGCAAAAGTCTGAATGTGTTACCAAAAATGCCATTATTACTGGTGTTGATTTTGTGGTGCCACCACGGCAGGCACACGAGTTTTGGGCTACTCCCTGTCCAATCCTCCTGTATGGACCTGCTCCAGCTCCCTTCTGTGGTCTCTGATCTGCCCAGGGAGAGGGGGAGACAGACTGAGTCGTTGTGCCTGTTTGCCTCGAAGGTGTTGAACTGAGCAAAGCTGCTCTCTGAGACATCTGACCTCAGGAAAGGAGAAGAAAAAGGTGGTTTTCCCCCCTCCTCCAGCTGGAACAGCTTCAATACACATTGGCTGACTTTTAGGGAAAAACAAGGAAATCCCAAAAGCTCTGAGGTCAGACCACAGGTCTTGGCTCTGTACCTTGTTCCTATAGCTCACTGGGTGGTTGGTGCCTCATGGTCCCACCAGTGGTACTGTGGACACTCGAGACTGGGCTCTGTGGGGGCTCTGCAAAGGCCACTGGTGCCTAAACACTGGGGCAGTGGAGTGTTTGTGCACCTTGAGCCTCTGGGAATCCAGCCAAGGTGGCAGAAGTCCCTCTGAGCTTTTCTGGGGATTCTGCAGGATTCCCATGGCAGGAAGGACTCTTTGGGAAGCTGCTGCTCCTTTGTTTCACAAGGATCTGGATATTGCAGTGAGACACCAGGTCCTGTGCTGGACAGGAGTCAGGGAGGGACAGACCAAAGGCTTTGGAGTGATGAAGCTGCTGCAGCTCTGAGGGAGTTCCCAAGGCAGAATTCAGTGATGAAACTCCTCAGCGACCCAGTTCTTTATCTGCACTTGCCCTCCCCCTGGGGAAGTGGGCTGCCTCTCTAACCGAATTTACCAGCTGGAGTTTCCTAAGTGAGTTGTTTGAGGTTTTTTGAAAGAAACTGTCGTTGCTTTTATCAGTTCATCAGAGCATGAATTGAAGAACAGGAGCTTTAGGAAGAGAAGCAGCAACTGGAAGGTTTTGGGGTCTGCCCAGAGCCGGGGTCCATGTCTGAAGCTGGTGCCTGCCTGGCTCCCTCTCTCCTGGTGCTTCCATCCTCCCTCCTCAGCTGAGCTGTGACCAGGTGTGTGTTGTCTCTCTGCCTCCGGGAAAATGTAGCTGTGACAGTCACAGACCCACCCTTTAGCAAAGTCTCCCTAATTCTGCTGGTTCCCCAGCACCAGGCAGGCTGCACAGCAAAGCTCACTGAAGGTGAGCTTGAGAAAGGTGTAAGACCTTCAGGCTGTTGTAGCTGAACACAAAAGGCAAAAAAGGAAACAAACGAACAAACAAGAAAGGTAAAATTCAAATATAATCCAGGTGTTCTGCTTCGCATCCTTTGCTTCTAATCACTGTGCCCAGGGGTGGATGGCACCTCCTGTTTCCATACTCCAGAGGAGCAGCATCTGATCTCTCCTCTGAGCCCAAGGTGAGGAGCACGAGGGTTTGGTGCTTGTGTGGGTGCTCGGCAGAAGGCTCAGCCAGACCCATGGCCTTTCCCATACACTGTGATCTGGGAGCAGGATCGTGGTCTCCAGGGAAAGTGAACATTTAAGAGACGAAGCATCTCCCAAACCTCCCACTTTCGTGGTTTCTGAAGCGGTTTGAGGGCAGTTTTTTGGAGAGCAGTTTGGAGTGGTGCTTCTCAGGGGTCAGTGTGTTCAACATCCTTGTTGGTGACATGGACAGTGGGATCCAGGGAGCCCCAGCAGGTGTCCTGGTGACACCGAGCTGTGGGTGCTGTCACACACAGGAGGGAAGGGACAGGGCATCCCGAGGGGCCTGGACAAGCTGGAGAGGTGGGGCTGTGCAAACCTCGGGGAGGCCAAGTGCAATGTGCTTCACCTGGGTCAGGGCAATGCCAAGTGTGAATCCAGGCTGGGGGAGAATGGAGGGAGAGCAGCCCTGGGGGGCTTGGGGATGTTGGTGGATGAGAAGCTCTACATGACCCGGCCCAGAAACCCCCCATGCCCTGGGCTGATCCCACAGCAGACCCCCCTGCAGAGCTGCCTCCAGCCCTGGGAACCACATCAGAAGGACATGGAGCTGTTGGAGCAAGTCCAGAGGAGGCCACGGAGATGCTCCAAGAGCTGGAGCCCCTCTGCTCTGGAGCCAGGCTGGGAGAGCTGGAGGGGTTCACCTGGAGAAGAGAAGGCTCCAGGGAGAGCTGAGAGCCCCTTCCAGGGCCTAAAGGGGCTCCAGGAGAGCTGGAGAGGGACTGGGGACAAGGGATGGAGGGACAGCACAAGGGGGAATGGCTTCCCACTGCTGGAGGGGAGGGTTAGATGGGATATTGGGAAGGAATTGTTGGCTGTGAGGGTGGGGAGGCCCTGGCACAGGTTGGGCAGAGAAGCTGTGGCTGCCCCATCCCTGGAAGTGTCCAAGGCCAGGTTGGACGGGGCTTGGAGCAACCTGGGCTAGTGGAAGGTGTCCCTGCCCATGGGGGAGGTTGGACTGGATAAGCTTTAAGGTCCCTTCCAACCCAAACCATCCTGTGATTCTCCGAATTAAGTCCCTCATTGTGACACTCAGTTATCAGCTCTGACACCACCAACTGTCTCGGGAGCCTTTGAAAAACCCTCCTCTCGCTCCTCTGAGTGGTGGTGACGCCGCAGGGGAAGGACTCAGGTGGTGGCTTTGAAACCCTCTGGCTCTGCCCCCTTTGCACAAGAGCTGTGGTCACTGTTGTGCAACCTGCTGGTGCTGGTGCTGTGCTGGTGCTGTACTGGTGCTGTACTGGTGCTGTGCCGGTGTTGGCAGCTCAGGAGATCCTCTGCCCCTGTCTCAAACACAGAAAGGGGTGGGGTGGGGGCACCTCCTGGGTCTCTTGGGTCAGGGTCCCCTTGAAGGCCAGGGGAGGTTGCTCAGGGTCTTACTCAAGTGAGCTCTGTCTCCAAGGATGCAGATCCCACCTCTATTCCAGGCCCCATCCCAGCACTGCACCACCCTCACGGGAGTTTTTCTTGGGAATTTTCTTGGCAGCACCACGTGCCATTGGCTCTCGTCCCATCCCTGTGTACCCTGAGCAGCCCCTGGCTCTGCCTGCAGCCCCCTTAGGAGACAGCCAAAGCCAATGGTGAGGCTCTCAGAGCCTTCTCCTTCCAGGCTGACCAAACCCAGCTTTCTCCTGCCTCCTGGGCTCCAGGTGGATTCCCTCTAGTTTGTCAAAACCAGTCTTAGATTAGAGGTCTGCAAACACCTGGGACCCACCACAAGATTTGCAGTTTGCTTTGCTGGTTTTCTTTAAAACATTAAAGGACCAGGACCAGTGGCAGTGCCAGGCTGTACCTGCAAGGAACCCAGCTTTGGGGACAGGGATGATGGAGCCCAGCTTTGGGGCTGGGAATGGTTGAGTCCAGTTTAGGAGACAGGGATGTTGAAGCCCACTTTGGGGGATAAGGATGGTGGAGCCCAGCTTTGGGATGCAGATGGTGGAGCCCAGCTTTGGGGCTGGGCATGGTGGAGCCCATTTTGGGGGATAAGGGTGGTGGAGCCCAGCTCTGGGGACAGGGATGGTGGAGCCTGGCTTTGGGAACAGGAATGGTGGAGCCTGGTTTGGGGGATGAATTTGTCCATTTGCACTTGGGCAGAGAAAGGAGCTTTGGCCACAGGGAGAGGAGATGCTTTGCCAGATCACTTCCCAGTGCAGCAGAAGTTTGGGAAAGGATGAGACCCTGCCTGGGCTTCCCTGAGCTCCAGACCAGCAGCTGGAGGTTGGTGACACCTGTTCAAACCATCACCCAGGTGCCTCCTCCTGCTGCAGGGACGTGCACAAGGAGCAGCATCCGCAGATCCCTCCAGACCACGGTGGACAGGGAGCAGGAGGTGAGATGGGGAGTGTTGGGCAGCACAGGCACCCTTGGGATCTGGTATGGAAAGGAAGGATGAAGGGCACCATGGGGTAAGGAATCTTGTCCCTGTAAAACACCCCCAGAAGGACTCGACACTCTCAAGCCACAACAAAGCGCTGCCTCACGTCTCCCTCTGGAAAAAAACACGGGGAAGCGCCGCTGGAGCTGGGTGTGCACTGGGGTGCAGAGGGGCCTCCCTGCCGTGGTGCTGGGGTGGGTGCTGTGCTGTCTTGGCCTCACACCCCGAGGGAGAGTTCCCCAAACGCCGGGTCAGCCCCTGCAGATAACGCCGGGCGGATAAAAGCCCGGCACGGAGGGGCCGGGGGAGGGAGGACACGGCACATCACGGGTGAGAGCCTGCCCGGGGCGCTTCTCTGGGCGTGGGGGGCTCGTTCCCGTGCCGTGGGTGGGGGGCTGGGGCTGGGTTTGGACAGTCCAGCTGAGGTTTGTGATTCCCCCTGGGGCTGGCAGAGCCGGGAGCACGGCAAGGATGCGGCTGGAGCACGGCAAGGATGCGGCTGGAGCACGGCAAGGATGTGGCTGGAGCTCGCCGCTGCTGTGGCCAGGGGCTGCCCCGCGGGGAAAGGGTTTAGCTGGGCGTTTTAGGGTGGATTCCGGGCTGCCTTTGAGGCAGCTGCACGGCGGGGGTCAGGCAATGAGCAGCAGGCTCAGCCCCACAGCTCTGGTTGCTTTGGAGCAGCCTCGGGAGGTGAGTGCATCAGATTTGGGCGAAAAACATCCCAAATTTCTGCGTGTGGAGGACCTGCCGTGCTGCCCTGGCTGCTCCCTCTTCCCCTCCAGCTCTTCCAGCCCCCTGCACTCCCCGTGTTGCTGCCCAGCTCCCTGCCAAGTTGCACTGGCAACGTGTTCTGCTCCCTTTTTGTTGCCTCCAAAGTCCCAAACAGGATGTTCCCAGCAGTGCTGGGAATCCCCAGGACAGGAGGCAGCTCCCTGCTCCCTGCCTGGGAGGTCCTTGTAGTGCCACAGGGGGACCTGAGGTCCCCCTGTGGCACTACAAGGACCTCCCAGGCAGGACAACCCCTTGCACTGGGAAGTGGATGCCCCTTGAGCTCCCTTGGCATCCTCAGTGTGGGCATGGAAATTCCCATCCACTGGCTCTTGGTCTTCTTCACTTCTTGCATTCCTTTGCAGGGATGAAGGCAGGAACCTTCCCGGGGCTGCTGGTGATCCTCAGCCTCTTCCAGCCACCTGTATCCTCTTCCCACGGTACTGTCCTTCCCTCAGGCTTTGCAGATCAGGGGAATTTCTGAGCAGGAAAGACAAAAGTTCAGCCTGGAAGAGCCTGAATTGCTCTGCTGTGGCAGCACAGCCCTGAAGAGGTGTCAGAAGGAGCACAGTTTGTCCCTCCTGTGGCAGCAGTCCTGGCTGCTTCAGGTTTTTACCAGTTCATGGCCTTCCTGGTTTCTTAAATCAGGTTAAAGGAGGTCAGTTCTCAGGTATGAGGGCCTCTATTCCTGCTCCCTGAGCTTCCAGGGCCTGGAAGTTTGGGGATGGGGCAGTCACTCCTCTCTTCCAGCCCTGGATCACTGCTCTAAAACATCTAGAGACCCCCACCTGTTAACTTAGAGTGTCAAGTCCTTATGGAAAGCATATGCTTGATCTTTCATTTGTCTCAAATAGTGGCTCAGGCAATAATTTTTCTCATCAACATCATCCAAGAGAGAAACTCTGGGCTGATCAGGGAAGATATTTTAAAAATTCTGGGGAGCTTTTGGAGATATTTACCTCCTCTGTGTGATTTTCTGACATTTTTTTTCTCCCTGGAAGCTGTAGGAAAGTGCTGTCCCTCAGAGAAGCCCACCAGGGCCTGTCCTCTCCTGTTCTGTGACCCACAGCCAGAAGATGATGGGGATGAAATTCATTTTTGGGAGCTCCCCCAGGCAGGAAGAGGAGCAGTGAGGGTGGCAGGAGGTTGCAGGAGGGACTGGAGAAAGCCATGAGGAAATTGGGTTGTTTATAGAATCACAGAATCATGGAATGGTTTGGGTTGGAAGGATATTAAAGCTCAGCTCATCCCACCCCCTGCCATGGGCAGGGACACCTTCCACTAGCCCAGGTTGCTCCAGCCTGGCCTTGGACACTTGCAGGGATGGGAAACAGCAGGAGGGATGGTGCCTGCATCTCTCACTGTGGCTGTTTGAAGCCTCCACTGGTGGAGACACCTCTTCATGCCCAGGAACAACTCTCAGACCCCCTGAGGATTATATTTATATCCAGATCTCTTGAGAACGAGCAGCAACTGCCTCCAGCACCGCTGTGCCCAGGCCCTGGGTGCTGGAGACACGAGCACAGGGTTCCTGACAGCGCCCTCAGCTCTGCCCTCCCTGTCCCCTGCCCAGATGTGCTGGAGGAGCTGTCGGACACGGCCCTGCTGAGCAGTGTGGCCGAGGCCAAGCGCCTGGTGGACGTCGCCTACAAGCGCACACGGGACCGGTGAGATTTGGGGCTGGGGCACGGCTGTGACCCCCGTGTGACACCTGTGTGACACTCATGTGACACTTGTGTGACACCTCAACACCTCTGTGCCCCCTGTGTGCCCCCTGTGTGCCCCCTGTGTGCCCCCTGTGTAACCCCTATGACCCCCATGTGACCCCCGTGTGACACTCATGTGACACCTCAACACCTGTGTGACCCCCGTGTGACCCCTGTGTAACCCCTATGATCCCTGTGTGACCCCCATGTGACCCCCGTGTGACCCCTGTGACATTCATGTGACCCCTGTGTGACCCCTGTGTGACCCCTATGACCCCCGTGTGACCCCTGTGTGACCCCTGCACTGCACCTTCACCCTCTCCTCCTCCCTGAGCACAGGTCCAGCGGGGTGAGGAGCTCTGGAGCACAGAGTGCTGTGACCCAGGATGTTCCTCCCAGCTCAGTGTTCACAGAATCACAGAATGGTTTGAGTTGAAGGGACCTTAAAGATCTTCTTGTTCCACTCCCCTGTCCTGGGCAGGGACACCTCCCACCAGCCCAGGTTGCTCCAAGCCCCGTCCAACCTGGCCTTGGACACTTCCAGGGATGGGGCAGCCACAGCTTCTCTGGGCAACCTGTGCCAGGGCCTCCCCACCCTCACAGCATCACCTGACGCTGTGCTGGGCTCTGTTCCACTCCTCAGAGGAGCTCTGAGGTGGTGCCAGGTGTTGATTTCAAGTGGTTCCCTCCATGGACACAGCAAAAGGCTGTAGTGAGGACACTTTGTGGGACTCCCAGCCATGGTTTGGGAGTGTCCAGCTTCCCACCAGCCCGTAGCTGTCCTCCTCCTGCAGCCACACTCTGAAACCCCTTGCTGGCTCAGGGACCCCTCCAGCTGACAGGAGGTTCCAGCAGCTTTAAGACAGGGTGAGCTGGAGGCATTTGGGACCTTGGGATGGACACACCTGCAGATGTGGATGGTCTGGATAACAGCTGAGTGAGCTTTGGGTGCCTCAAGGATCTAAAGACCTAAAATTTGCCTTCTGGCAGGTGGAGCTGGGCAATTTGAGAGATTCCCTTCCTGCAGCTCCCTGTGCTCCTCTGTCAGGGGTGCTGGGAGCAGCCCTGGCCTCTCCCGGTGACTTTGCCTTTGCAGTTCAGAGCAGGGACACACCAGGAAAGCTCAGATGTGGAACCTGCAGCACTCCTGGCCTTGCCCCAGGTCAGGTTCTGTTTTCTTCTCCCTCGCAGCATCAAGCAGCACCTGCAGGAGGATGCCTTGAGCCCGGCAGAGCTCCTGAGATACTTCAAGCAGCCCGTGGAGGGGACCCGGGCGGCCGTGCGGGCGGCAGATTATGTGCAGACCACCCTGAGCCTCCTCAAGGAGAAGCTGAGATGGGCTGTGAGGGGGGACTTCAACGTCACAGGTGGGGATCTCACTCTGCTGGGAAGAAGGCAGAGGAGGAAGACACCAGGCTTGGCCACTGGGGCTCTGTGGGGCCTGGGAAGAGGGAAGGAAAGCAGGTTGTGATGGACCATGACTCAAACCTCTCCCACGTGGCTGCAGAGAGGCAAAGCTGAGTTCTTTTTCTGTGCTCTCTTTCTATTTAAAAAAAAAATTGTTTAGGGGTTTGTCAGTTAATGACAGTGTTTTGGGCACGTCCCTGGCTCTTTCTGCAATATAGAGGTTCATGGACCAATGGGTCAGAGCTTGAAGGACTTTGGTAGATATTATTATTCTGCTTAGCTGGGAATGAGCAAAGCCAGAGATGTGACTCGAAGTAGTTCAACCCCAAGGAAGGCAGTTCTTCTGCCAGGCTTCAGCCAGCACTAAAGTCACTGCCAGACTGTGCTGCACCAGGGACAGGATGCTGGAGAAGGTCCAAATGGAGAATGGGGAGATGTGAGAGGACATTTCAGCTGTGTCTGAGGGAGCAATGTCCTCCCTGAGGTGGAATCGTGGCTCCCTGGCCAGGCCAGTCTGCTGAGAGCAGGAGGCAGATTAGAGGCAGAAAGAGAAACAGCTCAGGGAGGCACAGGGAGGGCTCCTGCCATAAAAGGTGAACTCACGGAGGGCATGGAATGGTTTGGGTTGGAAGGGATCTTAAAGATCGTCTGGTTCCAACCCCTGCCATGGGCAGGGACACCTTCCACCAAGCCCTATCCAACCTGGCCTTGGGCACTTCCCCAGCATTCCAGTAAAGCACTGGCAGGCCAGGACACACGTCCTGGGGTGTCCCAGCATTGCTCCAGGATGGGGTGAGCTGGAAGAAGATGGCAGGGCTGGTGGTGCTCAGTTCCAGCCTCTCCATCCAGGAATGATGCTCCACAGACCTGCCAGGCCAGCTGGTTGCCACCTCTCAGCTACAAGCCCAGAGGCTCCTTAAACCATTCTGCAACCCAAACTGTTGGTGGCAGCAGTGACCAGGAAACCTGTGAGGGACCCAGGACTCGTTTGAGCAGCAATAGCAGAGAAGGAGCATCCCTGCTCTGGAGCCAGGCTGGGAGAGCTGGGGGTGTTCACCTGGAGAAGAGAAGGCTCCAGGGAGAGCTGAGAGCCCCTTGCAGGGCCTAAAGGGGGCTTATGAAAGAGGGAGAGAGACTTTTTACACTGGTAGACAGTGACAGGACAAGGAGAAATTAAATTTTAAACTAAAAAAGGAGAGATTTAGATAAGATGTTAGGAATAAATTGTTCCCTGTCAGGGTGAGGAGGCCCTGGCACAGGTTGCCCAGAGCAGCTGTGGCTGCCCCATCCCTGGAAGTGTCCAAGGCCAGGTTGGATGGGGCTTGGAGCAACCTGGGCTAGTGGAAGGTGTCCCTGCCCATGGCAGGGGGTGGGATGAGATGAGCTTTAAGATCCCTTCCAACTCAAACCATCCTGGGATTCTGTGATTAAGGTTTTGCTGGCTGAACTCAGCCACTGAGCTCCCATGGAAGGGGAAATCTCCACGGTGGAAACACAAAGGCAAAGTTTCCTGGTGTGCCCAGCCATGGGATAGTTCTTCTCCAAGCTCAGAGCAGTGGTGACACTCACTGGTGATGCTTCCAGGGGGAAAAACTTGTAACATCCCCTGGGGTGGCTGGAGCTGTTTGCATTTTATGGTGGAGAGAAAAAGGGAGAGGAGAGGAAGGAAAATATAATGCTAGAAAATCATTCTGCTGCTGCCCAGGCCTCATGTGTAATTATAAATGATATTCGACCACAGCTTTGCTGGGTTTGATGCTTTCCAACCCAGGAAAAGCAGCTTTGTTGCTCCTCAGCACCTCTTTGAGCAGGAAGGTCTTAAACAACAGCACGTTGTGGTCGTACAGGTGATGCTGTGACAAGAAACCATCCCAAGGGTACAAGAAGGAAAACCTTTCCCTGAACCTGGGCCAGTGTGTTCCTGAGGGCTTGTTCCCTCTTGTTCCCTGGCAGATTTGCTGACTCCAGCTCAGCTGGGGATGATTTTCAAGGCCAGTGGATGTGACCAGCAGGATAAGAAAATAAATTGTGCCTCTTCCCGCTACCGAACGATCACCGGCGAGTGCAACAACAGGTGAGGGGCTGAGCTGGAGGGCTGGGGGGCAACAGGACACGAGGAAATGGCCTCAGGCTGAGCCAGGAGAGGTTCAGGTTGGAGATCAGGAGGAATTTCTTCATGGAAAGAGTTGTCAGACACTGGAAGGGGCTGCCCAGGTGGTGGAGTCACCATCCAGTAATCACCATTCAGTGATGGCCTTCAAAAGAACCAAACAGCACAGGAACACTCCCAATCCAAATCTCCCAGTTTCTATTCAAGGTCACTGGAAATGCCATTCAGAAGCCTCTGGCCCTTTTCCCTGGCATTAAGCCTCCAACTTTAGTTTCCACCCCTGGTCTGACATTGAGGGCTCTTCTTCAGGCCAGATGACACCAAGGGTCACCTGAGTTCTTGCCTGGGAGAAACTGAGGCTTGGGATGGATTGTTAAAGGTCTTTTCATACCTAAACAATTCTATGATTACTGTTGTTATCATTATTAATCCTGAGGTTTATTGGTGCAGCAGCTCCCGGATCGTTGTCCGGTCCCATTCCAAGGTCCACATCTCTCCACATCCATGAGCTCTTGGCTCTGCCATGATCCTGATGACGTTAATTGTTTGCTCTTCTTCCACTCCCTCTGGCAGGAGGCACCCATCCCTAGGAGCCTCCAACAGAGCCCTGGCCAGGTGGCTGCCAGCACAGTACGAGGACGGCGTGTCCATCCCCCCTGGGTGGACAGAGGGAAGGCGCTTCTATGGATTCCCTCTTCCCCTGGTAATGTTTGTAACAGTCACCTGAGAATGCACAGTCAGGGCCTGGGGATTGTCAGTTCTTGGGCAGATCACAGGCAGCAAAATGTTCACCCACCAGTGGGATTGGGGGATTGGAGGAGGAACTTGGATTCACCAGCTGCAGAGTGATCCGATGAGAACATCCAGGGGGATCCATCAGAAGGGCTCTCTAGCCTTCAGGAAAAGCAAAGGAAAATCAACCTGATTATGCAGAAGCACGAGATGAAGAAAGAATCATGCAATGTGTTCTTTTGAGTGCACTTAAGCCAAATTATTTCACTCACCTTTTTTTTTGATTTGGTTTGTGGCAGCAGGTCGTCTCCTGAAAAGCAACGTGCCAGAGGACAAAGTGAGCAAAGGAACCCCCAGAATTAAAAATATCTGACCAGAAATTCTGTGTGGGGGTCCCTGGGTGGGGGTTATGGGTGTGTGGCTCTGGTGGCACCTGAGTGGGAGCAGGGACATTGTGATGTGTCTTCTGGTCACTTGGATTTGATGCAACAAGGGCACTAATGAGGAGCTCCCTGACTTTCTGAGTTGTGCCTCGTGCTCACGTGTCCACTGTACTTCCTAACCCTCCTCCAGGGCACAGCACAGTGCCCACTTTTGTGCAGTAATAAATGAAGGGAGAACTGGTGTGGGAATTGTGATGGGTGGGGAAAAGATAAGAAGGGAAGGCAGCCTTGGAATAATTTAAGAAATTCTCGGTGACTATTTTTTCCACACTTCTATTTCAGAAATGTCTTTTACAGTTTGTTTTGTCTCCCTTTGTCAGGCTTGCTTAGCTGCTTCCTTAAGTCCATCAGGGGATGGTCTGGGCCTAGAGGCTCAGAACCCTGCCTAGAGCCAGACCAGTGCAGTGCCCAGTGAAGGGACACTCGGTGACACCTTCCAGCGCCGACAGATTTGGGTGGTTTTTTTGTCTGTGAAGCACAAGAAATGCCTTGTGGAATTTCACTGACGACCCCACGACCTGGTGCACCCCTTTGTCCAGGTCATTTCCCCACACACGTGTCCTGCCTCCATCCCTGCAGGTCCGGCGGGTGTCCAACGAGATCGTTCGCTTCCCGCCGGAGCGGCTCCGGCTGGACCAGCGCAGGTCCCTCATGTTCATGCAGTGGGGGCAGTTCATTGACCACGACCTGGATTTCAGTCCAGAAACCCCAGCCAGGTTCAGCTTTCGTGGTGAGATAGACTGTGACACCAGCTGTGCCAAGAGGCCTCCTTGCTTCCCCATCCAGGTACAGCCAGCTTCCTTCTTCCAGGGGACACAGGGAGAGGGCATCTGCCTTCCAACCAGGAGATGGTGGAGGTAGGGAGAGGGAATCTTCCAAGCAGGAGATGGTAGTGGCTCTCCCAGCCCTTGGCCATGGGGGAACATCCTCCCAGAGCTGGCCAAGGGGGTTGGAACACCCTCTGTGCTGAGCCCTGGGCACTGTCCCTGGGTGTCAGGCACAGTCACAGAGATACTCTCAGGACTTCTGGGGATGGGCCTGTGCAGGGATGAGGGTTGGACTCAATGATCCTTGCGGGTCCCTTCCAACCCAGCATATTCTGTGATTCAATCAATTCAATCAATTCAAAGTTATACGGAAAAACTTTAGGAATCCATAGGACTGTATGGAAATCTAGGTGTCTCCAGGCTGTTTGGGACTTGGACTCCTAAAGAGCACCTCTGCTGTCCACCTGACCCTCCATATCAGGCTTTATGAGGTGGCTCTGCCGTGGCTGTGCATCACCACGCGGCTCCTGCTGACAAAATCTCCCGTTCTCTTCCCTCAGATCCCACCCAACGACCCCCGAATCACCAACAGGAGGGATTGCCTGCCTTTCTTCCGCTCTGCCCCTGCCTGTACCCCGGGCAGGGGGGTCCGGGAGCAGGTCAATGCCCTCACCTCGTTCCTGGATGGCAGTGTGGTGTACGGCAGCGAGGTGGCCGTGGCCAGCCGGCTGCGGGACCGGAGCCGCGGGCTGGGGCTGCTGGCTGTGAACCAGAACTTCACCGACAGGGGCAGGGCCTACATGCCCTTTGGGCCCATGAGGAAGGAGCCCTGTCTCAAGGCCAGTGGGGCAGCTCGAATCCCTTGCTTTTTTGCAGGTAAATTGGGTGTTTTCACCCTTGACCTGAAAACCAGAGTGAACAATTCCACTGGCTTCGGTCGGTTCTTCAGGTTTTTCTTCTCTCCCTCTCCCTCTCCCTCTCCCTCTTCCTCTCCCTCTTGTCTTCCTCTCCTGTTTCTTGTCTTCATCTTCTCTTTCTCTCCCTCTTTCTCTCCCTCTTTCTCTCCCTCTTTCTCTCCCTCTTTCTCTCCCTCTTTCTCTCCCTCTTTCTCTCCCTCTTTCTCTCCCTCTTCTCCCTTTCCCTCTCCTTCTTTTCTTCTTCCTATTTTCTTTAATGTTTTTCTTATTGAAGGAGGAAATGGAGTGTAGCAAGTCATGAAAGGCTGAGACAGGCTGTGCTAGGCAGGAGAAAGGTCTTCATCTCCAAGTCTTCTTTGTGACAATAGGCCTGGAGTGAATCTGTCCCATTTGTGCTCCAGAGAAGGGTCCAGAGTGCCCTGGGAACCAGTGCCATGGTGGAGCCAAACAGGCACAGCAGTGGCAGCCCAGCCTGGAGGCAATGGTTTGTCCATATTTGTCATTCCATGGCCGTCTCTATTCCTGCAGGATGGGGACAGGTGTGTAGGTGCGGGGCTGAGTCAGCTCCTGGAAGCATTTGCTTGTGTTGCTGCACATCAGAGTTCCTGCTGCACTGTGAGAGGAGCTGAGATCCCAGATGGAATGAGAAGGAGGCCAACTCCAGACCATGGTGACCTTCTAAGATGTGTCCCCACCACTGAGAAGGGTGGGGGTGCACTGGGAGCCAGGACAGTCCATCAGGACAGGCTCTGGCTTCATTTAACCTCTGTCATGATTTTGGTATCCCCTTGACCACTTCTTCAACCAAAAAGAACTCCTTTGGTCCTGGGCACAGCCTCCCAAACCCAAACAGCCTCCCAGATCTGTGTCCCCCTTCCAGCCACATCACTGCACAGCCACCATCCTCCTCCTACCTGCTGCCCTTTGCCATCTTCTCCCATCCCCAGCTCACAGAGACAGAAGTGACCCCTCGGACCCTGGGCATTGCTCCCTTCTCCCTGGCCCGGCTGGTGAGGATCCAAACCTGGGGAACCCCAACAGGGACATTTCTCACACACTTTGTGGATTAGTGTCTCGCTCCCTGGTCTTTTTCTTTTGGAAGCAGGACCTTCTGGCTCTGCTGGCTCTGCCAGGCTGAGCAGCTCTGGCACTGCTGGAGAAAACTTGAGAGCACAACAGATCTCATCAGCTGTGGAGCTGCTTTCTATTCCCTTGGCCCCCCGTATATCTTGTCCAAGATCCTCTGTGCAGCATCCCCAAGGTCCTTGGATACCATCAGGACCTGGTGGTGGGACCGGTGGGACACCTCTGCTTGATGCCATCCTCCAGCTCCTCCTGTGAAGTTTTTGGTGTTTTGTGCTCCCTCCAGCCTCTCACACCTCTGTGTCTGTCCCATCTGTTGTTCCATGTCTTCACCTGCTCCCCTTGGTGAAGACCATGTGGGACCTGTGGCCAAAGGCAGATGCCCAGTGAGGAGCAGAGCAGGAATATCAGATACTTTCCAAGGTGGAAGTATCAGGTACTTTCCAGCCCTCTGGACCGCAGGGGCAGTTCCTGTTCCATAGCTGGAACATTCCCATCAATGCATTCATGGCTGGTTCAGAAGTGTCTTTGAAAATTCAGTGTCTTATTTGGGACTTTTCCGGTCCCTGAGAACTGGGGGAATTTCACATGTGCTGTTGCCTACCAGGGCTAAGTGTTGCCTCCTGGAGCTCTGTTGGAAGCCCTGGCTGGGTGAATTCTGCTCATGGAAACCTCACAGAGCTGCTTTTGTTTGTCCTTCCGCAGCCCCTCACAGGGAGCCTTTGACAGTGGATGAAAAGGGCTCTGTGCTGGGAGCAGGAGTAAATCCCTCTATTTACTATGGGACAAGGGCACTGAATGCAACATATTTGCTTTTCTCTGAGTGCTTCTTTATCCTCCCATCACCTGCTTGCTCGTGGGTTTCCTGCCCCAGATGTTTGAAGAAGGATTTGATGTTTCATTGTGGTGCTGTTTGTAATTTCTTCCTTCGAGTTGTGACTCATTTAGCTTTCACTTTTCCTCCCCAGGGAGCTTGTTTGGGACTGTCATCTTGCTTTGGCCGCAGTTTCAGCCGGTTTGAAGGAGACCTTCTGACTTTCAGGGCCCTCCTGGCTTCCCTCTGCCCATCTTACATTTCTCTCTTGACTGTGAGACCAAATGTCTCTCTGATATGGCAGCCTGGATAACACCTACTTGTATTTAACTCCTTAAGTAAATGCTACAGCCCTTAATTGAAACAAACCTTCCCCATCTCTCTGCGATGCTGAGCCCAACCACGGTGGCATCTTGGCTTTTGCTGCCTCAGCAGAAACTTGGCTTTTCCCTGGTGCTGCCCAATCCTGGGCGCTCCGACCTCGCTTTCCTTCTCCTCCTCTCTCCTCCTCTGTGTTTCTCCCCCGTTTTCTCCACAGCGCAGGTCTCCACACATCTAAAAATTGCTCTGTGTGCGCTTCCCGGTGGGATAGTCCCATTCCAGTGGGAAGCAGCCAGGCACAAGGCACTGCCACTCAGCTGTGACCCTCCTAGGTGACACCAGAGCCAGCGAGATGCTGGAGCTGGCCTGCATGCACACGCTCTTCCTGCGGGAGCACAACCGCCTGGCCGGGCAGCTGAAGAGGCTCAATCCCCACTGGAATGATGAGACCCTCTACCAGGAGGCACGAAAGATCCTGGGAGCCATGATCCAGGTACCATCTCACACAGCCTGGCTCTGCCTGCAGTCTCACAGCATTAACGTGAGAGGCTCTGTTGGGACGGGGTGGCCAAAGGGTGTGAGGTTTTTGGGGTGCAAAGGCCCAAATTCTTTCCACCAGCCCCTTTCAACCAAAGCAAAATCACACAGAGATCCCTGAAATAACAAAGCACAGAGGGGTCCCCCCCAGATCTGGGATGTCCCTTTGCTGTTAAATTCAAAAATTGCTTGGTGGTTTCTAACTGCACTTTTTTGTTCGAGAAACAGGCAGAGAAGTGAGAGGAAAAGTTTTTTCTAACCAGTGTTTGGTACCTGATAAAAATGACACTGGAAATTCGGACTAAAATTCCTCTGGGTTGGCAGTCTCCTCCTCTCAGTGGTTCCCTGCCCATGGCAGGGGGCTGGAATGAGATGATATTTCAAGTGCCTTCCAACACAAACCATTCTGGGATCCTATGAAGAATCCCCATGTGCTGGTGGGTGCAGCCTTTCGTGGTATTCCTCTGTCCTCTGGGGCAAAGAGCCCCTTGGAACTGTGCTGCACCCCAGACTTCACCCTGAACGAGACCTGAGGGTCACAAAAACATTTCTGTGCTTGGGAAGGACCTCTCAAGGTCTCCTGTGCAGCCTCCAGTTTGGAACAGGACCAGCTTCAAAGCCAGATGAGGTTTCACAGGCAACACAAAAGGTTGGTTCTTATGAGAAGGAGACATGGAGTTCCCAAAGGCTGTGCTTAGTCAGACCTAGTTGGAAACTTGTCTTCTGAGCTGGCTTAACAAGCAATAAAAACCAGGAATATCAAAATGTTTAAGTTTTTTTAACTGTCAATTTAAATATTATAGTATTTTTGGATAAACATGTTAGGTAAGGCAATGTGGAGAGACTCAAAGGGTTGTCCTAAAGGCATCATCTCCATCACTGTGTTGACATCAATGGTTTCATCTTCCTGCAGTTTTCAGAAAATTAATCTATTTTCTCCTCCTGACACAGAATTTTTTTTTTTTTACGTTTTTTAATTGTATTGTGGCACTTCCTCAATATCTCAGAGAGACATGAAGGCAGGGTTGGAATCCTCTGCTATGGGAGGGCTCTCAGGGCTGCCCATGGGTGGTGTCATCCCATGTGCCAACGCTGCCAACGTTATCTTTGCCCTCTCAGGGTGCAGTTCTGCCTGGCTGATGGGAGACAATATTTGGGAGGGTTTGGCATTCTCAGAATCAATTAGGTTGGAAAAGACCTCTGAGATCATTGAGTCCAACCAATTATTATCTTGCTCTGACCTATCAAAGCGTTGAGGAACAGAGGCCGTGTCTGGGGACACCGGAGTGCTGAGCATCAGGGGGTAGGTAAGAGGGTGTGTGTGGATCAGGCACGAGCAGTGTCCGTGCTCCCTGGTGGTCCTGGAGTGTCCATGCTGTGTTTTCACCCAGCTCCCTGCATGTTCCTGCAAAGTTCCTCAGTGTTAGAGGGTGTGGAGATCCCTCCATGCCTGGCCGGAGAAAGCAGGAGCGTGGGCAGTGCCCTGCAGTGCCTGTGTCCATGTCTGGTGCTGCACATGGACAGCTGCAGAAGAGGTTTTGTGGAGAAACAAAAATGTCCCTCCACAGTGGCAGGGAGGATCCCCACTGGGCTGCCAGAGCAGCTGGGTGAAGGTGTGGTGAGGTGAAAGGCGGGTTGGCCCTGGGGTGGTCCATCAATCCCATCAGAGCAGCTCCACATGACAGCTCCTGTCGTTTGACAACACGAACAACAACTTTGCTTCTTCAGAACCTGACAGCCAAGACACTGATGGTTCATCCTCTCCTTGTTTCCCCCTAGATCATAACCTACAGGGACTACCTGCCTCTCCTGTTGGGATGCAGGTTCCAGCATCTGATTCCTCATTACCGGGGCTACAACGAGTTCGTGGATCCTCGGATATCCAACGTCTTCACCCTGGCCTTTCGCTTCGCCCACGCTTCAGTTCCCCCCACTGTGGGTCGCCTAAATGAGAGTTACAAGCCCATAACACCCGAAATTCGACTTGGAACCTCCTTCTTTGCCGTCTGGAGGATCCTTCAAGAAGGTAAAGCCTTTCTTGCAGTGAGTTTATCCCGCTCAGCCTTTTCTACCCTCTCTGGATGAGCTCCTGCTTCAGCCAAATTTAAAAGCACTTTGTATTAAGTGTATTTTGTATTAAGTGTATTTTGTATTAAATGACCTCTTCAACCAGCCAGAGTTTTCCCAACAGGGCTGTTCCCTGCAGTCAAGTGCAGCCCATCATGTTACGGAGCTCGTGGTTTGATCCCTTAATTGCTGTCGCCTCCAAGAACATTATTCAAAGCACTTTCTAATTCTTTGAGGGCAGGAAAATTGATTCTCACGTAGCAGAAGTTTATAATTAAATACAAGCCGTGCTCAGCTCTCTCGAGCCTGTTATACACCCGCCGGTCTCCCCGCACTGCTCACACATCCCTGTGTCACCATTCCAGGTGGGATCGATCCCTACCTGCGGAACCTGATGGCCAGCCAGGCCAAGCTGATGACGCAGCAGCAGATGGTGGTGGATGAGCTCCGGGACCGGCTCTTTGAGCAGGTGGAGAGGATTGGCTTTGATCTGGCCGCGCTCAACATGCAGCGGAGCAGAGACCACGGCCTGCCAGGTGAGCTGCTGGGGGAGCAGGGCTGCCCAAGGGCGTGGAAATCAGGCGCTTCTGCTTGGGCACTGGGAAACATCTCCAGCCCATGACTGACTGAAATTACCTCGGAGCTGGATCTGATCCTTGTGGGCGCCTTCCAACTCAGTATAGTCTGTGATTCCCTGATGCTCTTTCCCAAACCTTTTCCTTGTTTTTGGATGACCACAGGTAAGTGGGGGGAGGTTGGGCGACGCAGGCAGAGCCTGGATGAAGCTGGAGGAGACATGTGAGGCAGAACACGGGGCATTGCACAGAGCAAAGTTTGCTGTTCGGTGACTTGACTTGTATTTTTCAAATAGAAAAGTTGGTGAAGTATTTCAGCAACAAGTTTGCAGGAGTGGAATTAGGGACAGAAGTCCCCCGTGGCTTCTCTCCAAGCATCTGTAGTGGTCCAGCCCAGCCCCACGTGACTGGAAGAGCAGATTCCAATATGTGAGGAAAACCTCATGGTAATTTCTCTACAAAGACCGTGTCCCAGAACAAAAGGCATGTCAGAACCACTCTCAGGGCTCTGCAAGGGGCAGAACCAGTGTAATGGCATTGCAAGATGCTCTTGAGAAATAGATTGTTGGTGGGACTCCACAGCTGGCTCCTGGTGGGTCGTTGCCCAACACTGTTATTAGTCTGATGTAAGTGCCTGGAGCTGCTGTGTCAGTAAATCCTTTGAAACTGCGATGAAAAGTGAGCTGAATCCACAAGCTTGAAGCCCAGTCGGAGGCTTTGCAGCACACCCAGGGGCATGGCCAGGTCACAGGATTGCTCTGCCTTGGTTGAAAGAGAAGGCTGTGATTTTTCCACGCTTTAAGTAGGAAAATCATTGTGCAGAACCTCTTCTGAACCACAAATCCTGAGCTTCTAGCTCTGACTCCAGACCTGCCATAGTGGAAGTCAAAGGTATTCCTGAATTTGTGAATTAGTGAGTTTCTGAATTGGTGAATGTGTGGTTAGCTTTGGGTCTCAGCCACCCTGAGTTCCACTGTACTCCTGGTATTAGTCAACTACGAAGGTGGTGATGGCACAGCAAGGTCAAAACAACCTTCCTAATTGATTTTTGGATGAAGAAAATTCTCAGTCTCCTGGAATTATTTGATAGTGGTGTCATCTGGGCATATTAGGAAGGAATATTAGGAAGGAATTGTTCCCTGTTCAGGTGGTGAGGCCCTGGCACAGGTTGCCCAGAGAAGCTGTGGCTGCCCCACCCCTGGAAGTGTCCAAGGCCAGGTTGGAGCAACCTGGGCTAGTGGAAGGTGTCCCTGCCCATGGCAGGGGGTGGAACAAGACAGGCTTTAACGTTTTGGCTTCCAGCTCAAACCATTCTGTGCTCACAGCAGAGGTTTTTTGTCCACCAAGAAGCAGAATTATGCACCAGTTGTGGCCCAGTGGATTTTTGGCTGTTTGCAGTAGAGGAAAAATTAGTCCAGCTGGCAAAGTCTGATGGCTGAAGTAACTTGGGCTGCGTGGTGTGGGATGGTTTGTCCTTGTGACTATACAGGGACCAGCTGTGGGGAAGCACTTGGCCACTGACCATCAGCATCTTGTCCAGGTTGAAGGCAACATAAGCTGCATCCCTGCTGAGTGGAACAGAATGTGACTGGAAGGTGGTGGAACATCTCCCACCAGCAAAGATCACCTGCAAAGTCATGGCCCTCCCAAAACAGCATTGAAAGGCCAGGCAGGAGGAACTGGCTCTGGAGGAATGGGAAGTCAATGGCATTAGCAGAAACATAAAAAAAATGCTTTAAACATTTTGGGGCCCTCCCTGTGTCCCAGCTTTGGGAAAGAGAGGATAAGGTCTTTCCAGGAGGTGATAACACGTTACTGATCTGTCTCTGATACCCAACCACTCGCAGGTTACAACTCCTGGAGAAGATTCTGTGGGCTCTCACAGCCTTCTGGAGTGAAGTCCCTTGGTCGAGTGTTGAGGAATCGGGATCTGGCCAGGAAGTTCCTACAGCTCTATGGGACCCCCAATAACATTGACATCTGGATTGGGGCCCTTGCCGAGCCCTTTGTGGAGGGAGGCAGAGTTGGGCCTCTCATGGCTTGTCTCATCGGCACCCAGTTCAGGAACATCCGTGATGGGGACAGGTAAGAGGGGGAGCTGGTAATCCCAACCCCAAAGGACAGAGAGGCTGGAGTTTATGGAGATTTCCTTAGGCAGATTTGGAAACTTCCAGCTGTTTATTGCTCTTCTTTTCACTACTACTCCAAGCATTTCTTTCCCCTTCTGGTGATATGCCCTGTCTAATGGTTGAGATCCTGGGCTAAGATCCCTTCCCAGCCGAGTGTTTTCACTCTCAGCCTGTTCACTACCAGTCATTACTTGTGCAAACTGGGTTGCCCTTCTCCATGTGGGAATGTTGGAGCCCTTTTCCTCCCTCAGATCGGTGCTCTCAAGGTGCTACTGTGTGTTCAACCAGCAGCTCCCTCCAGCAGGAAGGGAAACATAACAAAAACCTCATCAAGAGAAACAGGTACAGCTCTAAAGGTGGGAAAACCAGGATCTGGGTGGATTGACTTCATCCAATTGGAGCCAGATCTGTCAGGTCCAAACTTATTGCGCTGGAAGCAACTGCTCAGCGTCTGCTGAGGTGGTGGTTCCTGCTTTGAGGAGCTTTGAAAATTCACCTGCAGACCAAGGGATGGTGCTGAAGGACTGACACACTTCCAGGCTTTTTAGGGAGTAAAAGAGGTGAAATGTTCCCTCTTGGTTGGGTCCCAGCTCAGCCCAAGCTGCTCCCCCAGCACTGGCAGCATCCCTGTCCCCTCCCTGCTGCACCTGCAGAACTCAAACATCTGCTCACCTCCCAAATTCTGAGTTTGCAACACACATTTTTGTCCATAGTGTCTTCTGTACTTCTCGGGGGTCTTGGAGGTGATTTCTCACTGTTTCTTTTTTCCAGTTCTGAGCTGGAACCCCATGATCTGATGTGTAGCAGGGTTTGGTCTTTGCTTGCACCAAGATATGAGTTGGGGTTTCCTTGTCAACCAAAATCCCTTCAGCAGCGCTGAGCTTTGAACATCCCTGAATTCCTCTTCCTCCTTGAGGCTGCTCAGGGGCATCAGGTGCAGCAGTGCCCCATTTTAAGCTGCATTTCTGAAGCAAAATCCCTGTACCTGCCAGCAATATTGCCTGAAAATGTCATCACAACCCCTGTTTCTGGGAAACAGTTCTGCCTAGAAAGACTTAGGAGGAGCTCAGACCCCAGTATTGGGAGCTTAGAGGCAAACAGTCCATTGCACATCTAGAAATCCTCTTCTTATGGCAGGAAACAAATGCTTTTTTAAAAAAAATTGGGTAATTACATGGCTGGTTCCAGCACAGCAATCATGTGGCTGTAACCAGGGTCTGTGCAGCCTTTCCTATTTGAAAGAGGAGCCTGTGCCTCATCTGAGGGAACACAGGGCAATTAATTCAATTGCAGCTTTATTATAAGTCCATGGGCAAAAAAAAAAAAAAAAAAAAGCACATTAAATTATCCAGCTGGTGAGTCAGGGCTCTTGATTTAAATAACAGAAATTTGAATTTGTTCTTGGCAACAGAACTGTGTTATTGGTGTTAATGTGGGAGTCCTGAACGTGAAGAAGCCAGAAGGCAAAAATCTGTTGTGTGTCCTTGTTTCTCCTGCAGGTTTTGGTGGGAGAACCCCGGGGTTTTCACGCCTCAGCAACGCCATGCACTGGCCAAAATCTCCCTGTCACGAATAATTTGTGACAACACCGGCATCACTAAAGTTTCAAGGCACATCTTCAGGGCTAACAGGTACCCCGAGTACTTTGTGAGCTGCAGTCAGATCCCAAAGCTGGACCTCAGACCATGGAAGTCGCCGTGCACCAAGGAGCAAGGTAAGAGCTTCCCAGAGCTCCTGCCTGCAGGCAAGGGGGAGAACCAGAGCCAGGGGCTTCAACCAGAGCTGCCTGATGGGGCTCTGGGCCTGTGTGCCAGGTACACCCCCGGGACATGTGCCAGGTACACCCCTGGGCCATGTTTGGACTCTCCATTTTATCAGGTGCACTGGGAGTGGCTCCTCCAAAGTGCAGATTTTCCAGCCCTGGCAGTGCAAGACCAAGCCAAGTGCCCTGTTCTGGGATTCTGAGGAAAGGCTGAGGGAGCTGGGGCTGTTCAGCCTCCAGAGCAGAGCCTGAGAGGGGCCCTCCCACCGTGTGTCAGGGGCTGCAGGGAGGGGGCAGAGGATGGCCCAGGCTCTGCTCGGGGGGCCCAGCAATGGCACAGGAGGAACGGGCAGGAACTGATGCCCAGGAAGCTCCAGCTGGACAGGAGGAAGAACTTCTTCCCTGGGCAGTGACCCAGCTCTGAACAGGCTGCCCAGGGAGGGGCTGGAGTCTCCTCCCTGGGGAGATTCCAGAGCCCTCTGGACACAATCCTGTGCCCTGTGCTCTGGGCTGGCCCTGCCTGAGCAGGGAGGTGGCACCAGTGACCCTCTGGGGTCCCTTCCAGCCTGACCCATCCTGGGATTGTGTGATTTTTTCTAACTAGAAGACCTTCCAGTTTAGGTCTTTGCTGTTGATTCCCATGTTTTTCTGCATGGAAAGCAATGTCCAAATTGGGAAGGCTGGTCTGTCTGTCTGTCCAGCTGCTTGGCCTCTCTGCAGCACAGCTCTGAGCTGTCTGTCAGCACATCCTGGTCAGGCCAAAAGCAGCTCTTCATTGGAACAGAGATTCCCACTCTATGGAAGAGATCTTGGAATTTGATTTCTGCTTGTATAGCTTTTGCCTGTATTTCCATTATTTCCCTCTGCCTTCAGGATTTGTAAAATCTTGATCTTTAATGCTTTCCTTCCAAATTCTCTGAAGCCCCTGGCAAGTAGATGTAGGGAAGAGTGGCTCTCCCCTGGGAAAGGCAGACTGCTCCAGTGCCATGCCTTTTCCTGACAGAACATCATCCTTCCTTTGCTGACAGTCAGGCCCTGTCATGCTCTCATAATTCCAGTTATCAATCCTTCTTTTCCAGCTTAACCTGTGGAAATGAATCCACAGCTATGGCAGGTCCTTCTCTGTTAACACATTGTTTTTTATCTCCTCTAGAAGAAGATTCTGGTGACTTAAAATGCTGAACACTGAGGATTCCCCAGAAGTCTGGACTTGGGAAGATGCTGGGATTTGTTATTATTTTTTACTGGCTTTGTGCTTTTACTGCCTGCACTGTTGCTGTCATTTACTCAGCTTAGTTTGCACGAAGCCTTTCCAGTGGGATGGAGCCCAGCAAGAAAAAACTTCATGAGGAGATATCCCAGATCTGGGAAATCACTCAATATCACGAAGCCAAGTGAAATGAGTTATCCAGAGGCTGATTCCAAATCACACCAGCTGCTGCTTTGGTCCACAGAACCACACTCTGTTTTACCAGCACGTGGTTTGGACCCTCCTTTCAAATTTTGCAACCCCCACCAGAAATATCCAGGGCATTGGAATGGCAGCTGATTCTTGCTCCCCATTTTTTTTTTTTGTTTAAAATAAGACATCCTTTAATTCCAGAGAAAATCTCCTGATGTCAGGGTGCCCCTGAGGGAAGCAGAAGCAGCTGTCCTTCACCCCAAACCAGGCTTGTCTAAAATGCCCCGTGTCAGGTTTTGCTCCAATATGGAATTAAGGAATTGTCCACGTGGAGGGAGCTGTTTTCTCATCATTTTTGTGCCCTTAGTCCAGGATGCCCAAGGCATTAAGACAGAAATCTGTGACAAATTATTCCTGCAGCTTGGCACGAGCCAGAGTGACTTATCCCTGGGCTATGGAGCAGGTGGGATGTGTCCTGGCAAAGATAAGAACAATCTAAACATACAAGAAAGTAAAAGCTACTCTGGTTTCGCTCCAGCTTTGTCCTCTCAATATCTTTTCCTGAAAGGGATAAAACCCACTTTCTCCTCCCTCTATAGCCTGTTATATTCCTGTTATTGCTCATTAAACCGCAGTTTTGGGCTGAGGCCAGAATGTTCCTTGCACTTTGTAAGAGGTGTAGTAGCCACAGGTGAGTGGAGGATGGTGGTAGGATTTCTATGGGAATGTTGGGAAAAGACAGCTCCAGAACCTGTGTTTTGTCAATGAAAGAAAGAATTTCTTGCAGAAATCTCTGGCCCCACCTCCTGTGTGACATGGAACTATGGAAGGGGCGGGGCAGGAGGCAGTTCCAACAAATACTTGGCAACAATTCCTCCTTATCGTTCCCAAAATGGGAGGAGTCTCTGTGAGAACCTTGGAGAGGAAGAAGAGGGATGGAGACCAACTGCTGCCGGTCAGGGTGGAGGGGCTGAGGGTGGTGTAGGCTGGGAAACACCACCCAGGGCACATTTGGAAAGCAAAAGGCACCAGCCATGCCCTGGAGTGGGCAGAAGTCCCCTCTGTCTCCTGGGTGAGCTCCTGACAGTGATGGGTGTGGGGTGCCCGACTGCGTGGGGGGTGTCCTGGGCTCTCCAGCTTTGGTTTTCCCCTCTCAGTTGTCAAATAACACCCACCTGTGTCTGCTCAGCCCCGCAGGGACAGAGAAAGTCTCACTCATTACCTGCTGACTTCAGCAACTCCCCTGTGGGGGAGGAAGTGGCTCAAACCCACCCACAGTCCCTCTGTGTGCACGAAGCACAGGGAGCCAATTTTCCCGGTTTTAAGATGAAATCTGGGCACTTTGATCTGGTTTATCAACTTGATCAAACTGCCTGATCAAAGCCATGAGGTGCTGGTACAGCAGGAGGGGGGCTGTGCCATGGGATGCCCAGCACGTGCCTGCCCGGGCTGGTGGAGCTGCTGAGGGGATTCATCCTGCAGGAGCTGGGGTGGGACTGTTTGTCCTTCTCAGCCTCTGCCAAAGGTTTCAGAAGTTCAGTTCTCTCTCCTGGCTCTGCCAGGGCCTCTCATTCACTTTCTTTCCCACCTGCAGCTGTTGCAGCTCAAAGCTGGATGTCCATCCTGAGTCCATCCCGCTCAGCACCTTCTCCCAGGGACATTTTGTTTTGAGCCTTCGTTTGCTTATGGTGAACAAGACAATTTTCTTTGCCTTTTCCCATCAGATTAGATCCCTTTCCCTGCCTCCTCCTCTCTCTTCTGGCCAATGTGTGGCTGAGCAGAGTCGGAGAGTAGCAGAGTCATTAAAGCTGAGTGATGAAAGCTCAGGGTATGAGCAAGTCCCTCCTCTCCCTATCTCAGCTTCACTTAAGCCAGATTGTGGAAAAGGTGCAAAGACCCAGGGGCAAAAGGGAGTTAACTGGGAACGGACACACTTAGTCTGGGAACTGGGAACTACGTTAGAGCTGGAGTTTCAGAAAACACCTTGCAGGTTAGGCAAGAGCTGCCTGCTTTTGAAATGGAAGTGGGGTGGATCCAGGTGCTGGGGATGTTTGCGACAGAGCAAAATTACAGCTGAGGATTTTGGTGTCTGTGGCCTTGGAGCCTAAATGTTGTGTCAGACCTGAGCTCACGATCTCTCCGTGGCGAATTGGGAATGGCACAGTTTTTGTTATTGCTTTGTGCCCTTGGCTTTTCCCATCAGAGACACTCACCAGCTCTTGGAAGCCCCAGATCACAGATCTTTGCTCCCTCCAACTCCCTGACAGGAGAGGGGAGCCGGGGGTGGGGACAGGCTCTGCTCCCAAGGAACAAGGGACAGGATGAGAAGAAATGGCCTCAAGCTGCACCAGGGGAGGTTTAGGTTGGATATTGGGAAAATTTCTTCATGGAAAGGGTTGTCAGGTACTGGAATGGGCTGGCCAGGGAGGTGGTGGAGTCCCCATCCCTGTGGGTGTCCAAGGGACAACAGGAGGTGGCACTCAGTGCTCTGGGCTGGTTGACAAAGTGGGGATTGGTCACAGGTTGGACTCGATGATCCTGGACGTCTTTTCCAACCTTAATGATTCTGTGAAAGTCTTTGAAAATTGCTGTCAGTGACTTACAATAAAGCTTTTCAGTGGTTTGTGAACTCACACACCCCCTTGTCCATAGACATTCTGGGTGGGTTTGGGAGTGCAGGGTTGTGTCAGAGGTTTTCCTGCAGCAGGAACCTGAACACGGCTTGGTTTGGGAGCCACATCCATCCCTGCAGGACAGTCACTGCACTCCTTTCACTGGGGTTACATTTTAGGAACCTCTCTCCTGGCAAGTCAGGATGAACCAGGTGTGAGCAAATCAACCTTCCCCCAACTGCAAAAGGCCATAATTTATACTGATGAGATATAGGAGAGGTTAACAGGCATTAGGAAGGGAACTCTTTGCTGGATCAGACCTTGGAGAAGCCCGAAGCAGCTGTGGTTGGTCTCTATAAACCAATTCCAAAAGGAGCTGGTCTCTGCAGCACCAGTACAGAGGGTCCTGGTGCCATGATCCCATGTGGGACGTGGGATGTTTGTCTTTTCCATGTGCTGGGGCAGGGACAGTGCAGAGGCTGTGGGAAAACCTTTGGCTGCCTCTGCTGTGGTTGCAGGGAAGCCCTGGGAGAGCTGAGCAGTGAGGCTGCAGTCACTCCTCTCCAGTTTGTCCATGAAAGACAGGAGAAGAATGGTCCCTGGATTAGCCACAGGAGCAGAGGGCACAGGCAATGCCTTTTTTTATTATCATGTTTCTTAATGAAATATCACACATTCTTGCCCAGTTTATTGTCCGGGGGGGTTTGACCTTGTTCTTTAGGTTGCAGGTGATGGTCAACGTGGTTTCATGGGTCCTCGGAGCATTTCCTTTTTAGAATCTGCAGCTTTCAGTCCTGGATGGAATTCAATGTCATTAAATATCAATTATTTAATATTTTTGCTCCTCTGAAGTGCTAGAGCAAGGCCTGTCATGCAGATGATGAATCACACAAGGTTTCTTTTTCAGCCCAGTCGTTCCATCCATTGCAAAGACCCTTTTCAGGCAGTGGTTTTAGGAGATGGAATGCAGTTGGAGCAGTCCCAGGTTAAACCTGCATTTTCCTGCTTCACTCCCTCCTTATGCAGATGCTGCCTCAACATCTGCCTGCCTCTGGCCATGAAAACCTTTGGAGGAGCTGCCCTTGCTTTGTTTATCTTCTGGTCTAGATTTGTGGCACTTTTCCCACTTTTCCCACTCTACATGGGGAATGTCCAGTTGCTCAGCTTGGTCCCTCCGATGCCTGGATGTGTGGTGCTTGCATCACTGGTTTTCCCTTTGTGTCTCCTCCATAACAGTAGTTTCTGATTTCCTGGACATCTTGCAGCCAGCTCACTTGGTGAAGCTCAGGTAAGACAGCCTGGGGTCACAGAATCACAAAATCATGGAATGGTTTGGGTTGGATGAGATATTAAAGCTCATCTCATTCCACCCCCTGCCATGGGCAGGGACACCTTCCACTAGACCAGGCTGCTCCAAGCCCCATCCAGCCTGGCCTTGGACACTTTCAGGAATCCAGAGGCAGCCACAGCTTCTCTGGGCAACCTGTGCCAGGGCCTCCCCACCCTCACAGGGATGAATTTCTTCCCAGTATCCCATCTAAACCCACATTGCCTCTGGGCAGGGTCTCTGCTGTCCCACACATCCCGCTCCCTCCCACTAGAGATTTTCTTAAAAGTCCTCAGGGTTCCTATGCCCAGAGCCCCCCAGAAGGGGGGCTGGCTCTCCAGGCACATTCCAGCCCAGATTCACCCAGCCCTTGCCCCCAGGCAGCTTTGCTATTGCGTGTTTGCCCCTCCTGCCACCCAACTCCTACTCGGAGCTGCCGGCGTGTCCTTGCTAAACCGGCTTCCCACGGCGAGCTGAGCTCTGAGCAGGGAGCACAGCCCTGCTGCAGCATCGCTCCCAAACCTCCTTCCAGCTGTGCACCACCCACATGTAGCTGATCCAGGGAGTCTCAACTCTGCTCCACAACACCGGGAGCTGGTGACTCGTTCCCTGCTCGGAAGGATGGAGCTTTTCCTCCTTCACTACCCATTCACCTGCCTGTTCGTCGTGTTTCTAGTCCTTTACCAGGTGAAACCTGCATTCAGATTCTTCTGCAAGATGACCTTCTACAAGCTGTGGTTCTTCACCATAAGCATTGGGGTTGTTATCCTCAGTATTCCTCGGGGACGGAACGTGGAGAACATGACGTGAGTGGTCCATGGCTTCTTTCTGCTCGGGGCACTGAGAGAGTCCACTCTCTCCAGTGCTTTGTTTTGGAGGGTCCTGGGAGCTGGGGTGTGGGGGGAGGAATTAGTTGTGTGGTGGTGTGGGGAGATGACAGACCCTGTAATTCCGTGGAGGGGTGTGAGTTTCAATATTGGGTTTGGGTTGATAGAACAAAGAACGAATTACGGAAGGAAAGGATGTAAAAGGTGACATTGATTTGCCAAAGTAGGTAATGCCAACTACCTGCGTGAAATGCACAGGTAAAATAAGTTGCTGTTTTTATTAAAACTCTTTTATCTGGTCTTTGGAGCTGCATTTCATTCCCCATGGCTGAGCATTCCCTTCCCAAGCTGTGTTGTGAAAGCCACTGCAGGTGCTCTTCTCTTCCTTAACTCCCTTGTGAGCCAGTGCCCGCCTGAGTGGGCATGAGCAGACACTGCCACAGTGCAGTGCTGGCACCTGCACTGTCACTGGTGTCCCCACCACTGCAATGGCAGCAGGGTCCCCAGGTCTGGCAGTCCCCCAGCCCATCCCCTTGCTGCCCATCCCCTCTCTCCAGGCTCCACAACGAGCTGCAGACTCCCCTGGGGGCAGCCTGGTGGGGGTAGAGGTGTCATCAGCAGGGTGGGCACCAGGAACTCGGGGTGTGTGCCGAGTGGGCACGAGAAGTTGACTCTGCTGCATGTCACTGTAATTCTTGTGCCCTTCTGAAGTGCTGCAGAGGCAGGATTTACTGCTCCATTGTCCTGTGCTCCAGCGGGAATCCAGATCTCCTCACTGAGCATCAGCCCCTTGCTTTGAAAAATTTGCTTCACTTCTTTACTTTGGTGCCCAACTTTTATTATTTTTTTTATTTCATTTTACCAATACTTCTTAAAATATGGCTCCTGGAATTGCAGCTAGAGGCAAACCTCTCTCTTTGCACAGCCTGGGCAATAGCAGAGTTAGGCACAGCTTATTGCAGCCTGTGTTTGATCCAGCAAGGTGTGCAGGGAAACAGAGTACGAAGGTGTGCTGTGAATTGGGATATTTGGTTGATCCACGGAATTTCTGTAGCTGTGGTTGCTGGACCATTGGTCTTGCATGGCTGGAAGGAAACTTGACAGCTGGATCTATGTTGTCTAATGAAATGATAAGCTGCAGAGGCACAGTAATTGCTCTTCTCCAAGTTCTGGGTCAAATCTGGGTCTGTGGAGAAACAGGAGCACTGCCTGACGTGGGATGGTTTGGATGAGCAGTGTTTTATCCAAATTTCAGCATCTCTTTGGCTCCTCTTTTCCAGGTTTTTTCGCACATTGGCCCTGCCCCTCAAATACATCTTTGGTATCCAGATAGTGGTGAAGGGCAAGGAGAACCTCAGGACTAAGAAACCTTTCGTGCTGGTGCTGAACCACCAGACCTCCCTTGACATTCTGGGTATGTGCTGATCCTGCCTCCTGCTCCTGGCCCCAGGTGTTTGGAGGGGTGGGTTGTACCAGCTCCCAAGTGTCACTGGCAGAGGGGGCAGGAGTGGCTGTTACACAGTCCTTGACTAGCCAGACCCAAGCCAGGGCTGATGTCCAGGGTGTTAGAGGCAGGTTTGATCTCCAGGGTATTAAAGGCAGGTCTGATCTCCAAAGTATCAGAGGCAGATATCCAGAGTATTAAAGGCAGGTTTGATCTCCAAAGTATTAGAGGCAGGTTTGATCTCCAAAGTATCAGAGGCAGGTTTGATCTCCAGAGTATTAAAGGCAGGTTTGATCTCCAGGGTATTAAAGGCAGGTTTGATCTCCAGAGTATTAGAGACAGGTTTGATCTCCAGAGTATTAAAGACATGTTTGATCTCCAAAGTATTAAAGACAGGTTTGATCTCCAAAGTATTAGAGGCAGGTTTGATCTCCAGGGTATTAAAGGCAGGTCTGATCTGCAGAGTATTAGAGGAAGGTTTGATCTCCAGAGTATTACAACCAGGGCTGGTCTCCAGGGTATTAGAGGCAGGGCTGATTTCCTTGGTATTGAGGCAGGTTTGATCTCCAGGGTATTAGAGGTAGGTTTGATCTCCAGAATATTAGAGGCAGGTCTGATCTCCAGGGTATTAGAGATACTTTCAAGCTACATCAGCTTCACCCAAGGAATGAGGACAAGACCCTCAGCTGACCACAGCTGTGTCATAGCTGCTCTCCTTCAGTGCCAGTAATAGTCCTCCTCCAACCCTGTGGTTGGTCTGGAGACCCCCAGGATCCCATTCCCAGGGATTCTAAGGGTCAATGAAGCTGCAGGGATGGCATCTCCCAGGGCAGAGGGCTGTAACCCAGTATCTAGGGCAACTCTGAGTGCAGATGACGACTTGTCCTGCCCTCGTTGTCCCCTTGCAGCGCTGATGGAGATCCTGCCTCACCGCTGTGTGCCCATTGCCAAGAAGGAGATCCTGTACATGGGCACCTTCGGCCTGGCGTGCTGGCTGGTGGGGACCATCTTCATCGACCGCAAGGACAGGGAGGGCTCCATCAACACCCTGACAGAGGTGGCACGATCCCTGCACAAGGACAACGTGAGTGGGAAGGAGTCTGGGGAGGAGCCTCTGGAAAACACAAGCCTTGGCGTGGGTGGAAAGGGATCGCTGTCTCCAGGCTGGGCGCTGAGCAGAGCAGAGTGAGGGCATCCCTGGTGGGTTCAGTGCCTTGTGTGTCCGTGGAGGGGAGGTCAGGAGCACACAGAGCAGTCCCAGGGGATCGTGGTGGCTCGGAGCAGCACCTGGAGGTGCCCCCATCTCAACGTCCTCTCCCTCCTCCTGCAGTTGCGCATCTTGATCTTCCCCGAGGGAACCCGCAACCACGGAGGCTCCATGCTGCCCTTCAAACGTGGGGCCTTCCAGCTGGCTGTGAAAGCCCAGGTGAGACCACCTGCCTCCTGCCCCTTGGGGTGGGCTTTGCCTTGCCATGGTCCACCAGCAAAGCAGGCTCCTGGTCCCTGTTTTCCCCGTGGATCCAACACACACCCAGGAGCCCACGAGGAGTTTGTGGGTGGCACAGGATGGGGCTGTTTCTGGGAAAAGTGGAAAACCTTCCTGACAGGTTGGGGAAAAAAAAGTGGGGAGGGGCTTGACAAGAGCCCTGGACCTGCCCAGGCACATCCTAATTTGCCAATCCACAATGGCTGGCTTAAATACAGAGATGAAAATGTAAAAGCCAATGGTGAGGACGTGGGGTGATACAATTAAATGATCTAAATATCCCAATAACCCTCTGAGTATCTGCTGTGAAGCTGATGGTGATGATTATCAGCAAGGTGCAGAATTGACCTGAAAACAGCAGCTGCATTTTGGAGGAGGGATGGGGAAACGTGAAAATTCACTGTAAATGTGAATATTCACTGTAAATGTGTATATTCACTATAGATTGTCTCCCTTCCAGGTCCCCATCATTCCTGTAGTGTTCTCATCCTACAACAGCTTCTACAACCAGAAGGAGAAGAGATTCACCCCAGGTGAGGATGACCTGGGGCAAAGAAGGGGCTGGGTGTTGGCAGAGCACAGTCCTTGGAGGCATGGGGTGGGTGGGCAGATGTGTGGTGTGGAGACAGCAGCCAAACAACAGCACTTTGTGTCTTCTTGGTGGGAAAAGGGAAATTTCAGGCGTCACTTTTGCCTCTCCCCTTGGATTTCTTGGAAAATGTGAGGGAACCTGGAGAAGCAGCAGAGTCCTGGGGCAGGTTCAGCCCCTGGCCCCACCACTCTGCCCTCAGGTTCTTGGGGAGTTGGGAAACAAAAACAATCACGGAGCTCTCAGCAGAAGTCACCCTGAGAATGTGTCCCCCCAGTTACCATGTTTCATCCACTTATGGCAACAAGAATTTCTGCTGCTCACTGACAGAATTTTATGGGGGAAAAAAATGACACAAGTCTTGGGTTTCAGAAGGCAAATGCAGAAAAAAAATGTTACAAATTCCAAGAGAGGAAAGCATTCCATCCTGTTCCTCCACTCCCTTTGCTGCTGCCCGCCCCAAATTGGGCTTCTGCCACTTCCCACCCTTCCCCAGGCCAGCCCTGCTGTTTCCTAAGGGGAGGATTTGCATCTGGAATCCTCATCCCTCCCATTGTTGTGCCTGGGTGTAGTCATCCCCTCACAGGCAGACAGCTGGAAGGGAGAATGTTAAACACTGCACTGGCTGGTTCCACTCACCTTTCACCTGCTGGGCCCGTCCTCTCTCTGTTCCTCACACACAAAAACCTTTGGGGACTGGAAATGCTCCCCCACCTGGGGGTTGATAGGACCAAGAGCAGGGATTCCTCCCCCACACACCCCTGCTCAGAGCCCTGCTCTGGGAAGTCAGACAATAACACGGTGGGGAGGGGTCTCTGAAGCAGCTGAACCTTTTGCTTAAAGCAAGGCCAACTTAAAGACAGCTGAGTTTGCTTTGTGCCTTGTCCAGACAAGTCTGGATTAACTCCAAGGATGGAGATTCCACAAATTCCCCGAAGTTTTTTAGGAAAGACTTTTTGCTGTTGCATGAACATTTGCCTTTGTAACAACTTCCCTCACCCTGGGAGTTCATAGTTAGCTGACCTCTGATCCCATGGATAACTGACCTCTAATCCCATGGTTATTGGACCTCTAATCCCATGTTTTACTGACCCCTGATCTCATGGATAGCTGACCTGTAATCCCATGTTTTACTGACCTCTGAGTCCTTTCCCAAGTGGCTGTTGAATAGGTAGGACCTTTGCTGCTGGAGACAGAACCCCAGTCAGCTTTTCTTGCACATTCCCACTTTTCCCTGCCACAAGTTTTGCCAGGGCTGATCCTGAAGATGTGTTACACGTGGTCAGGATTCCTGCACATGGAACAGGCTGGTCCTCAGGCCAGACCAGCTCACTGTGTCCACAGAGGCTCTGGGTGTGCTGATGAGCCTCTGGAAGGCCACACTCCGTGCCTGGTGTTGACACTGCCATGCATGGAGCACATCTGGTGTTTGCTGGAAGTCTCTTCTGCCCCAACAGACCTGAATTTTCAGCACAGCCCCGTCCTCACTCAGCCCTTTCCGTAGGGCCAAGTGAAGTGAGGAGCCAGCCTGGCTTTGGGTGTGAGATGTGCAGGCAGGGAGCACACAATCACAGAATCACAGAAGTGTTTGGGTTGGAAGGGACTTTAAGATGATCTTGTTCCACCCCCTGCCATGGGCAGGGACACCTTCCACTAGCCCAGGTTGCTCCAAGCCCCGTCCAACCTGACGTACCCTTTTCTGTTGTGAAACTCTCTATGCTTGTTTTTGCCTCCTTCACGTGGCTCTGCTCCCAGCACTGCTGGATCTCGTTCCAATGCACATGTAAAGACATGCAAGAACATTCGAAAACACCACAGACACTCCCCAGATCCCCAGGTGGGTGTCTGGTATCTGTGCAGGCACTGTCTTGTCTCTGGAAGCCAGAACAAGGTCCTCTGGTGCCAGAGCAGAAGCACATCATGACACCTCCTCAGTATATTCTTCCAGTTTGCACCAGTCCATCACTTGGCTGCTTCCCCAGAGGAGTCTGACACACCAGGGAGTCCTGGGTGCAATTTCCCTCATCCCAAAGCCTGTTGCTGGAAGGAGGAACTCTGCTGGATTTGTTATGCACAGATCAGAGCGTGGCCAGCTTGGATGTGCTCACATCTCCTTCTCCCTGCCACCATCTAGACAGGCCCTGAGGTCTTTCCACTCTGCAAACCCATTCTATGTTAAACATGGCATTGGATTTGAGCAGAGATTCACCTATTTCCATATTTGTGATTCTTGTGGGTGGGAAAAGCCTGGTGTGGGTTTTTGCTGTGTGCTCCTGGGCCACGGCTGGGTCCCCACACCACTCTCGGTGTGTGAATGAGGGCATTTCCCTTCTTTTCTCTCCTGTTCCTTGACTGGCACCAATCCTCCTGCTGCATCTTCTCTTGCTCTCTCTACACCACTCACACGTTCTCTTCCTCCTCTCTCTCACCCTCCTGCCTCGCTCTTCCAGGAAAACTCATCATCCAGGTCCTGCCAGAAGTGGAGACCCTCGGCCTGGGCCCGGACGATGTCCCCAAGCTCACCGAGCAGGTCCGTGACTCCATGCTCACCATCTACCAGGGGATATCAGGAATGACAAACGGAGCTTCCCATCAGTGATCCCCTCTCCCAGCTCCAGCTGTGTGTGCCACAGCCGAGGGGGAGGCCATGGCAACCACAGGAAGGCCTGGCAGCAGAGACAGCCGTGGATTGCAACCCCGACGTACCAGAGACGGGCTAAACGTCCACCAAGGAGGAGAAGCTTCCAAGTGGAGGTGGTGGTGAGAGGGTTTTGCCATGTCCCTTCCAGGGAACTGTGCCACCTGCATGGACAGACATACCACGGGCAGCTGGACATTCCTGTCCTCATAACCATGGGAACATGTCTCCAGCTGGACCCCAGGCAGAGCTGGACCCTTCCTGGGATCATCACTGCCTGCTTATCATCACCTTTTCCTATTCAGAGCCAACAAGGTGGAGACATCTATCCCAATCCTGTGGCCATCCTGCCTGAGGAAGTGGCTGCCTTGGGGTTGGAGGGCTGCCCCACTCCCCTGGAAGCACACTCAGGAGAAGGCACTGTCTCCCACCTTTTCCGTGGGGAGGATTTGGGAGGAAGCCAAGGCAACTTTGGGAGAGGGGAATTAAAGCCCTTACATGTCTGCAGGGCCTGATGGTCTCTTTGGGTTTTTTAGCCTTCCTTTTAAGCAAAGTAAGATTTTGCCTTCAGTGGTTGACCAGATCTTGAAAGTGCGAGAGGAACGTGCCTGAGGACCCAGACAGCAGAGGCAAACAGCAGGGGTATGTTGCCTAATATCCTTCCCATGCCCTGATGGAATCGCCATCCCTGGAAGCGTTCAAAAAACATGTAGATGTTGTGCTTTTGGACATGGTTTAGTGGTGGACCTGGCAGTGCTGGACTAATGGACTTGATCTTAGAGGGCTTTCTCAACCTGAATGATTCTGTGATAATTCTGTGATAATCTGATTTTTAGCACAACCTGTGTATTTTTCAACTCAAACACACTCTGGGAGCTGCAGCTCCTGATTTCTGAATCCTGCCTGGTTCTGCCCTGGCTTCACAGTGTGATGTCTTGCCTTCCTCTGCCAAGGCCACCACAGCCTTTCCCCGCTCCCCACACACTGGGGACTCATGGAGCTGCACAGTCCCCAAATCCCATCATTTCCCCCAGGGCCCTGGCAGCTCCAGGCATCTCCTGTGGGTGCCCCAGGCCATGGGTGGGCAGTGGGGCACTGGGTTGAGATGGACATGACTTGGCAGCACATCCCATGGCAAAGCTCATATGCTGCTGCTGCAGCCCTGGGGTTCTACCAAGCATCTCCTTCATTATTCTTCACCACAGAGGCTCCTGCTACACTCACAAGCTTCACTCATGACTCTGCCTTATGCTGCTGCCTTCTTGCTCCCAGTCACCTCCTTCCCTCCCAGTCATCCCAAGGAGAAATGGAAACTTAATATGATTTTTACATCTTTGGTATTTATTGACTTGCAGTGTCCTGGAGTGACCATCCTGGACAGGTGATGAATTTTTAGCCCTAATTCTCATGGTTTACACACCAGTCAGCTTATGGTTTGCTGCTTTATGCTGAAATGTTGAGCTATGAACCACAGCCAAAGAATGTTTTGCACTCAAGTTGGACAAACACAGAATCACAGGTTTATTAAGGTTGGAAAAGATCTCCAGGATCATCGAGTCCACCCTGTGCCCCACCCTGTCCCCCAGCCCAGAGCACTGAGTGCCACGTCCAGTCCTTCCTTGGACACCTCCAGGGATGGGGACTCCACCACCTCCCTGGGCAGCCCCTTCCAGTGCCTGACCACCCTTTCCATGCAGAAATTCCTCCTGATGTCCAACCTGACCCTCCCTGGCACAGCTGGAGGCCGTTCCCTCTCCTCCTGTCCCTTGTTCCCTGGGAGCAGAGCCCAACCCCCCCCGGCTCCCCCCTCCTGTCAGGGAGTTGCAGAGCCAGAAGGTCCCCCCTGAGCCTCCTTTTCTCCAGGCTGAGCCCCCCCAGCTCCCTCAGCTGCTCCTGCTGCTCCAGCCCCTTCCCCAGCTCTGTTCTCTTCCCTGCACACGCTCCAGCCCCTCCACGTCTTTCTTGTAATGAGGAGTCCAAAACTGGACACAGGATTTGAGGTGTGGCTTCAGCAGTGCCAAGTACAGATGGACAACCACCTCCCTAGTCCTGCTGGCCACACTAGTTCTGATCCAAGCCAGATGCCCTTGGCTTTTTTGCCCACCTGAACACACCTGGGCTCATGTTCAGCCTCTGCTGAGCAGCAACCTCAGGTCCTTTTCCAGCTTTCCAATCACTCTGCCCCAGCCTGTCATTGATGCCAGATGGAGATGAATGCACAAGATGGGTTTTATTACTGCCCAGAACACCCAAACCATACAGGTCCACTGTAGAATTTAAATAAATTTGTCTCTAGGCTTGAAGACTCCAATGTCTTCAGAGACTTTTGATCTTGCTGATCATAAACAGCCAAAACAGCTTTTGCTCTTGTGCAAAACGAGATTAGGAAGGTTTAGATAAAGGTGACATGAACTTGATCATTTCTGAGCAGGTACAAAGGAATTTGATTTTGAAATGCAAGCATGCCAAACCTCCAGGTTTGACACCCATTCAGGATGGAAAGTAAAAAATTTGTCTTAATTATGTTTTTAGAGAGTCACAAAACCTCTGATCAATTTTTTTTAGAGCAACATAAAATAACACTTCGTTGCCCTTCCATTTGGAGGCTTACATTACTGGAAATTTTTAGAAATAAATAGTATTAAAATCACGTTACAGGAAATAAAACAGTTGCCATAGCCTTGAGCTCCCCTCTGGGAAACCACGTGCTGAGATTCAGTCGACAGCAGCCACTGGAGCCTGATGGCCAGGCAGGAATTTCCCAGGAGCAGCTCAGGGCCACCATCAGGGGTTTCCAACACTGGTTTGAGCAGCAGGACTAGAACCTGTCAATGAAGCAGGAAAAGCTGCTGAGAGGCAGAAAGCCCTTCCTGGGCACATTATTTCCCCCCACATTTTTGTCATCCCTGTATCCTTGCCGAGGCTCTGAGGCCGAGGTGCTTCCAGCCTTGTCAACAGGTGACACCAGAGAGCCCTTAGGATGAGGGGGTTGAGGGCAATTTCTTGGTGCTTGAAAAGGTTAAACTTCTATCAGCTGCTTTTGACACCCTGGAATTTCACTCTCTGGGTTATGAAAACAGGTTATGAAAACACTTCAACTTCCTCCTGGACTGGTGATAAAAGAGCCACAGGAAGCAGCTCAGCACATTTTAGTGACCATAAGACTATGATAACAAAAGAAATGAGACAACATTGTTTGGAGAGAAGGTAAGTTGGACTCAGCTCCTAAAGAATGGGGTGAAGTCACCAAAATTTAGCCTTTACATCAAGTGCAAATATCTGTTTTAAACAACAGCGTTTCCCTCAAATAGTTAGTCAAATTGAATACAGGAACTTCATGGTCTGTGCCTTGCAGAAGGACAGAGCAGGGGATCCCCAGGGATTGTCATCATCTATAAATGGGTTTCCAGAAGGAAAAAAACCCTAATCCATTCTGCAAGTCTCTGTTCTCCCACATCATTTTCAGCTGGGAGAGCCTGTGCCAGAGGTGTAAATGTAGGAGGGCACAGTGAGTGTCCACATCTCTCAGATGAAGACCCATCATCATCTCTGACTGGGTGTGTTAAACTGCTGGTGTGTGAGGCCACACAGTGTCAAAGCTACTCCAGATAAACCTTAAAATGCTTTAAAACTTTAGGGAAAGCAAGGGGAGGGAGGGGACTTGGAGCAGCAGAGTAAGAATTTGGAGCAGGCTGACTAATTCCAGTTGATTTTTTCATGGACACCCTTCCTGTGAGGTAAGACTATGGTTATCCTGGCATTTATTAGAGAAGGACACATTCAAAAGGGCCAGAACAGACTGGATTTTCAGGGGTTTTCCACCTCCTTGAACAGGAAGAGGCAGGTTAATAAAGGATGATGAAAGGGATGGATCACACGGAGACCCAGCCAACAGCACCTCTGCCTCCAGTGCTGTCTGAGTGCAGCTGAACACACAGTCATCTTTTTGGGGGCAGAGTCACCATAGAAACCTTATTTTTTTAGGCATGGAGGAGACATCATAGGGCATTTATTATTTTTGACAGGCCTCAGACCACTGGTACCTTTTGTGCCACTCTCAGGTTCATCTTTCCAGGGTGAGAGGTCGAGCGTGTCGATCTCCTGGCAGTCAGTGAAGTCCTCAGGGTAACTGTTGATCCTGAACACATCCCTGGGTATCTTCTGGATACGAGTGTTGTCACAGAACACCTTTGACAGTGTGATTTTTCTCAGTGCTTGCAGCTGTTGTGGAGTGAAAACTCCTGGGTTCTCCCACCAGAACCTGCAAGGATATTTTCAGAGGCAGTTTGTAGTCTTTGGTCACTTGCCAAGACGGGACCTGACCAAGGTGAGTCTCTGCTCGGATCCACCCCGATCCACCAGGCAGAAGGCACAGCCTTTTGGGAAGAGGTGTCTCCAGCATGGCCAGATCTTCCATGCAGCATCTCCAGGCTGCTGGGATTCAGTGGTTTATCCCCCCCCTTTGTGCCCCGAGAGCAAATGTCACCTCAGGCAGAGATTAGTGCAGATCCCCCGTGGTCTGGGGCTTGGATCAATGTCAGCGTTTTCCCCCCTGATAAATGCCCAGGGAATGTTGGCTCTCACCTGTCCCCATCCCGCAGGTTCCTGAACTGGGTGCCAATGATGCAGGACAGGAGGGGTCCCACCCTGCCCTGGGGAACCACGGGCTCTGCGACCGCCCCGATCCACAGGTCGATGTTGTCCGGTGTCCCGTACACATCCAGGAACTTCTTGGCCAGTTGGGGATTGCCAAGCACCTCAGAGAATTCTTCCACAGTTTGGGGTTGGGAGAGCCCACAGAAGCCCCTCCAGGCATTGTAACCTGCAAGAGCAGGAGCAGCAGCTGAGCAGAACCCACCACCCCATGGCCCCACCATCTGCCTTGGCTCTTGGCCCATGGGCAACATCTGCTTCTTCTCAGGGCATTAAAGGAGCTGGAAGCTGCTCTTGGCTAGGAAGTCACAATGTTTTCAAAGGTCCTTTCTGTGTCTACACACTAAACTAACAATCTGGGTTGTCCTCGTGACTACAGGTTAGAGCTCTCCTGTTGGTTACAGCTCTCTAGTGCTGAGGGTGAGGGCACCGGTCCTTGCAGCTCTGGGAGGCAAAATTTCTGGGGTCAAAGCCCTAGAAAAGAGCAGCATTTGGTTGTGCTTCACCCAAGAGCACTTGCTCTTCTGCAGCACCTCATACCTGAAGTCACTTCTGCTCAGAGCCCAGGGCTGTCAGGAGGCACCAAATCAGCACTGATGGGTAAAGAACAAAGAACTGGTGGCCTGTCTAAGGCCACGTGAAAGCTGAACTTGGTCACTTGTGTCTGTACCTTCTGTATCCCACATGTCCCCACTTTGCAATATACCACTGTATCTCCCCCTCTTTATTACTTTATCCCAACTATCATTTTTTATTTCAAAGCCTTTTGTCCTTGTCTTAAAATTTTATAACGCAGAGACCTTTTATTCCCTGAGTTTGCCTGTGTACCCACCCTCGACCCTCAAATCAAGACACTCTTTCTTCCCACTGGCATGGGAAAAGCTCAATACATTCATGGAACTGCTACAAACAGCAGAAGAAAACAGAGTATTGTTCAGAGGAGGGGTGGATTTGTGCCTCCTTACCTGGCAGGCCGTGATCTCTTCCCCGTTGCATGTTCATGGCTGCTAAATCCAGCCCCATGACCTCCAGCTGTTCAAAGAGGTGGTTCTGGAGCTCCTCCACCATCAGCTGGTTCTGTTCCATCTTCTTCGCGTGATCCACCACCATGCCCCGGACCAGGGGGTCGATGCCTCCTGCAGCCATTGCGAACCAAGGAAAGGCTTTTTGTGCCAAGTTGCAGCTTTGGGTGGTCCCTTTTGCGCAGCTGGAAGAGTTTACTTGGGCTGGGTGGGGTTTTCCCAGCTCCAGATTTCCATCTCGACGTGTGTGTTTGTGGAATCATAGAGCCACAGAATGGTTTGGGTTGGAGGGGACCTTCAAGATGGTTGAGTTCCACCCCCCTGCCGTGGGTAGGGACATCTTCCACTAGACCAGCTTGTTCCCAGCCCCATCCAACCTGGCCTTGAACATTTCCAGGGATGGGGTAACCTGTGCCAGGGCCTCACCCCCCTCACAGTGGCACATGTATGGATCTGTACATGTCTGCATATGCCAGCAGATGAGGCCTCACACAGCAACTAAATTCCTTATCCCTCCCCATCTCTCAGCCTTTCTTTCCACAGCCCTAAATCCACTTGTTGTCCACCAGGATCTCCAAGTCCTTTTCTTCTGCTCCTCAGCCCACCAGTCCCGATACACGGGGGTCTGTCAAGGTTTAGGTTTTGCAATGGATTCTGTTTTATAATTTGCTATTAATTGACAGATATTTATTCAAACACTAAATGCAACAATAGAATCAACTCATGTCTGATTGTCTGTGTCTGTTTCGTAACCATTAAGGAAACAGTGGGATTAAAACACAGGAAAATGGGCTGCACGTCTGTATTTTGGTAAGTTTTCCATGATTAGTTAATTAACCCATTTTGGAAGAGACATTCGTCCTCCTTGGAAAAACCCCTGTTGGGAGATCTCAGCTGTGTAATAGCAGGACCCCACAGCTCCATTCAGAGCCATGAAGAGAGACGGACACCACAAGGAAGTGACAAAGGTGTCTCAGCTCAGTTAAATGGGGTGCATCACCCTCTGGAGATGCCTCCTAACTAGAGGGGGATATAACAGCTTTAATTGACCTAAATTTTGCTGGCTGACACTTGGCACAGGAGCAGCTGCAACACTCACTCTGTCGGGTCTTGCTGAGCTGGGAGCAATTCAAGGAAGGACTGGAGGTGACACTCAGTGCTCTGGGCTGGGTGACAAGGTGGGGATGGGTCAAAGTTTGGATTGGATGATCTTGGAGGTCTTTTCCAGGCTTAATGATTCTGTGACTCTTTGTCTGACCTCCATGTGAGCCTCAGGACCAGACCAGGACCATCCCCACCTGCCCCCCTCAATTCCTACCTTCCATTATAATTCTCCAAGTAGCACAGAAGGTCAGATGCAGAGGGACATGGGAGAAGGAACCCAGAGGCTGGAAACCCTCATCCAAGCGGGACACAAAGGGCTGCACCGAGGTGTGGCCGAATCGGAAAGCCAGGGAAAAAACGTTTGAGGCTCTGGGATCCACCTCCTCATCATAACCACGGTACTGAGGGATCCACTTGCTGGTCTCCTCAGCCAGCAGAAGTGGGAGGTAATCCCTATATGTTATTATCTGAAAGCACAAAAGCAGAGCAAGTTGCCAGAAGCTGTAGCAGAAATGCCATAAAAATCAGAGCACTAATGTGGACTCTGGAGCAGAATTCATTAGGATCTTCACAAAAACAGATGCAGCAGTGGCATGACACAATAAAATTATTTTAAAATGCAGAATTAAAAAATCAAATAAATAATTGATACATTAAATATAATATATAGCTGGTAAAATCATTAAATAAAGGATAAGAAATCTCTCTGGGTATCCACGCTGTCTCAGATGGATCATCCTTATTCACAATTTCCAGCTCCCATGAACAACTCCACTGATTCCACAAAGCAGAATCCTGGAGGGAAAAACACATTCCTGAGTTTAAACACCCCGCAGTGACCATACCTGGTTTATGGCAATCACAATCTTTCGACTCTCCTGGTACAGCTTTTCCCCATCCCAGTGGGGATTTAATTCCCTCAGCTCCGTGACCAGGCGATTGTGCTCTCGGAGAAAGATCGTGTGCATGGCAGAAAGTCCCAGGTTTTCAGTCACACGTTTGTCCCCTACAAATGCAAATATTCTCTGGGCAACCCATGCCAGGCCCTCACCACCCCCACAGGGAAGAATTTCTTCTGTATACCTAGTCTTAACTTCCCCTCTTTCTGTTTGAACCCATTACTCCTTGCCCTCCAGTTTCTGGCAAACAGTCCCTCTCCAGCTTCTTTGTAGCCCTTTCAGATCTCGAAAAGCTGCAGAGGTTTCCATACAACCTTCCCTTCTCCAGGTTGAACAGCCCCAACTTTCTCAGGCTGACAACTCACATCCCATTAATGAATGGTGAATTCTAGGTAGGACGAAAAAAAAGCCCCTGAGAAGTTTTAAGCACTGGTGGTTATTCTGTTGAAAATTTCTATTGAAAAATTCTCCTGCCTTTGAAAAGACTTTTAAAAAAGGAGGAGGCTTTGTTGTAACTTTTGGGAAATTGCAATAATGTTACGTTTAATTAATCAATTATTTCTTGATTTTTCTCTTTTTAATTTGGGAGGCAGCCCCCTGTCTTCCACCTCACACAATGGAGTCTTGAAGCACCTCATCCACCCGACCACGACGATCCCTCCAGACTTTGAGGACACCCCCCAGAGCTGCACTTTTACCTGCTCTGAAGCAGGGGATGTTGGCGCCCGGGTCGGTGAGGACACAGACGCTCTTTGTCACGTTCTCAAAGGGCAGCAGCTCCAGCCCCGCGTCCGTGAAGTCCTGGTTCACGGCCATGAGGCCCAGCTGGCCGCTGAGGTTCCTCAGGCTGCGGGCCAGGGCGCCGTCGCTGCCGTACAAGGTGCTGGCATCGATGAAGGAGGTGGCGGCGTTGAGCTGCTCCCGGGAGAACGCCCCGGGAGTGCACGCGGGGGCCGACTGGACAAAGGGCATGCAGGTGTCGGGCCCCACCACCCGTGGGTCATCGGGGGGGAACTACACAAAAAATCATAAGTGGCTTAGCCGGGAGTCTTACTTAAATATATATATATATTAATATATATATTTGTATGTAAAAATTATAAATATATATTTTATACATCAAAATAGAAATAGAAATATAGTATAAATAGCAATAAATAAACTATAAATATAAATATAAAATAAACATAAATATAATGTAAATATAAATAAATAAAATATAAATATAAGTTAAACATAAATATACATATAAATATAAATAGAAAATAAATATCAATAAATAAAATTATAAATATAATATAAATATAAATATAAATATAAATATAAATATAAATATAAATATAAATATAAATATAAATATTAAATAAATATAAATAAAATTATAAATATAAATATAATATGAATATAAAATAAATATCAATATAAATATGAAATAAATATAAAAATATAAATAAAAATGAATATAAATAAAATACAAGTATAAATATAAAATAAATCTAAATATAAAATAAATCTAAATAAATATAAATATAAATATAAATATAAATACTCCATATACATCTACCTCTCCTCAGCCCTCGACCCTCTCATCGCAATCGCACTCTCCCATCTACCACGCTACCTACTCACTCGACCTCTCATCGCCTCTCCCTCAGACCTCTAACTCTCCCCTCTCCTCGGGTTCTTTCCCCCTCAGATAGGGTTTCAGAGCATCCGCACCGGCCTTGTGCCCCCGTGGTGTCGTTTCTTGCCGGGGGCCCTTGGCCCCAGGGCCACCCCACCCACCCCAGCCTGGGCCACCCTCCCATATTCCACCACAATACTGACTCAACAGATATTATTAATGCACAACACTAAAGTCAGAATCCAGTCCCTCCATGACACTTAAACCAAGATCCAACCCCTCCAGTTCCAAGCAACCCAAAGCAAAAAGGAAGGGGCAAGGAAAGAGAAGCAGAGGGAGCAAGAAGAGAGAAGGAGAAAGAGGAAGAGGCAGATCATGGAGCTGCCACTGGAACCTCGTGGCAGACCAGCTCTCACACATCCAGATGGCAGGGACACGTGGCAAACACGTGCCTTTGGTTTCATCTGCTCTGGTCCCTATGGCCAGACCCTCCAGGTCCCATTGGCCACTCTGGGGTTCCAGGGCAGGGTGAGGGGCAGTGTCCTCACTGTCCCTGCCAATCCGAGCTGGGTCAGGGGCTCCAGGAGCTGTGGGGTGTTATGATTTTCCAGGGTTGTTTGTGACTGTCCCTGCCAATCCGAGCTGGGTCAGGGGCTCCAGGAGCTGTGGGGTGTTACAGGGCAGTGTCCTCACTGTCCCTGCCAATCCGAGCTGGGTCAGGGGCTCCAGGAGCTGTGGGGTGTTACAGGGCAGTGTCCTCACTGTCCCTGCCAATCCGAGCTGGGTCAGGGGCTCCAGGAGCTGTGGGGTGTTATGATTTTCCAGGGTTGTTTGTGAGTGTCAGTACTCCAGGGCTTCTCCAGGGGCTGCCATGAGGGACATGAGGCCACCCCACCTCCTTGAGGTTGAACCCATCCCTTCCCCCTCCACACAACCCCTCCACACACACCCCCACAAGGTGGTTCTGACCCAATAATTACTCCTCTGGTGTCTAACAGTGGTGCCTCAGGAAGTCCTGTGCCTTTATTTCTGTTGCCTTAGGAGAGCGTGGGGTGGAGGGAGGGTCAGTACCTTAATGGGGAAGCAGGGAGGCTTGAAGGCACAGTCAGTGTGGCACAGGAGCTCCAGGCTGGCTCCTTCCCCGCTGGCAGGGGCCAGGTCTATGTCGTGGTTGACCCACTGGCCCCAGTGCATGAAGACCAGAGAGAGCTCCTGGTCTGCAGTGACGTTCTCGTTGGCCGTGTGAGCGATTTCGTTGGACACTTTTCGAACCTGCAGGAGGGAAAATGTGTGTGACTGTCTCCGCCATGGTGAATTCACCCCTCAAACACCCACTGTGAGACCAGAGAATCACTGAATCAGAGTCACTTGGGTTGGAAAAGGCCTCCAAGATCATCAAGTCCGACCTTGGGCCGAGTATCCCCATGCCCACTAAACCCTGTCAAAGTGCCATGTCTGCCTGGTTTTTGAACACTTCCAGGGATGGCGACTCCACCACCTCCCTGGGGATCCTGTTCCAATGCTTCACCACTCTTTCAGTGAGAATTTTTTCCTGATATCCAACCTAAACCTCCCCTGGTGCAACTTGAGGTCTTTTCCCCTTGTCCTGTCACTTGTTACCTGGGAGAAGAGGCCAACCCCCACCTCTCCATGACCTCCTTTCTGGTAGCTGTAGATCATCATGAGATGATCTTAGATAAGCTCATAAGAGTTAATTATGGCATTGAACAGATCCCTGTCATTCCCAGCTCTATCCAAACAGGTGTTATAAGTAGGAACCCTCTTAACTCCACAGTCCTTCAGCCAAACCTGGTTTCGTGGAAAGCCTGTTATGGCTGAAACTTCCTCGTGCACACATCCAGGAAGTCAAGGAGGTGGCTGAGGAACACCCCAGCCTTGTGGTCTGTACAAGTGTCCTGGTGTACCTGAGCTGCAGGTGCTGCCTGCAGCAATCCCTGGGCTGTGCACTTTGGAAATCACTTGGTGAAGTGTTCCCAACCTTTTTGCCCATGTCTGTCTCCAACAAAAAATATCGCCCCAAGCCGTAACTCAGTTGTAGAAAACCAGCCTCAGTGCAGCTCCTGAGATCAAAAATCAACAGCTCCCCCTCTAGACGTCACCACTGTTTCCCTTCAGCCGGGTGCAGTGAGGGCAGTGTCCATCCTGAGAGCTGGATTAGGGTAAGGGTCTCACCAGGGGGAGTGGGAATCCGTTGTAGTGCCTTCCTTCACTTGCTCCTCTGGGAACAGACACTCCGTCCTCGTACACTGCCGGGAGCCAGCGGGCAAACCCACGGTTGGAGGACCCCAGGTGAGGGTGTCTTCTGCAGCATCACCGGGAAAAGCAAACACTGCTATCATTTCAAACACAAAAGGTTTGTACAGACTAACATTTCACAGCCCTTTAATCCGTGTCTGATCACTCTGGTCACACAGGTGAGAGCAGGAAAATACTAAGAAGAAAATTACACCAATATTAATTACTGCAGGGAAAAATGAACCTTTTTGACATTAAAAAAAAAAAAAACAAAACAAAACAAAAAACCATTCCTCATGCCGTTATATTAATTTCATTTGGTATTTATTTCTACCTTAATTTTACTTGGCATTTAAATCTCTGTAGCATCTCTGTCCCCCACAAAATCAGCTTCACAGCAGGGCCATCAGCAGTGGGCACCCTTCTTGCCCTTTCACAAATGATCTTAAACCACCTGCCCTGGGTCAGAGTACAGATTTAAGACCCTCCTTGTCCACACACAAATCCCACCTGTTGTTGCACTCCCCGGTAATGGTCCGATAAATGTCCTGCTTTGGGCATTTAATGGGACGAGTCTGAGAGTAACAACCGGTGCCTCTGAAAATCATCTCCTTCTGCTTTCTGCTTAGCAGGTCTGAAAGAGAAACCATGGAAAGTAACATCTGATCCCACTCTTTTTTTTTTTTGTTTTAGCTTCTTGGTGTTCCAGGTGAACGTTTGAATCAGCTGAGTCAGAGCTGTAGGTATCCAGCATCTGGGTTTGAATTGTTAATTCAGAGCCCAAACCCTTTTGTGGATCAGCTTTCACCTCTGGACTAGGGGAACTGGGTGGGCATGGAACAACTTTCCAGGGGAATATGGGGAGCACCATCACCAGCAAGGGTTTATCCTAGGCTGGGAGCAAAATGATGAGTTTGGAGAGTGGTACAAGCCAGGTGTGAGGGCCAGAAGTGAAACATGGATGGTTCTCGGTGGTCAGAGTCTCCTGGCAGTCAGAGGGTTTTGTCACAGGTTTATCACACTTATTGTGAGCCCGTTTTTATCATCAAAGATAGGAGATGATGCCAAAGATGATGAATAAAACAGCCAGGGCTCTGCTCTGCCTCTATTTCCCCGGGGCTGTCGGGGGGAAGGTTTTTATCCCCAGTTATTCGGGTCATGGCAGAGCTGCTCCCTGACACTCCTGCTGTGGCACATTTTCTGCTCTCAGCTGCTTGTAAAACATTTTGGTTTAAACCACGTTACCTGTGACATTGAATCTCTGCTCCCCAGAGAGATGCAGTTTCCTTTTGAGGAGTTTCAAAGTAGTTTCCATGTAATCAGCAGCCCGGACTGCAGACCTGGTTCTTCCCACAGGGTCCTTAAGGTGCTTCAGGAAATCCATTGGGTTGGCAAGCTTTTCCTCCAGTTTTTTCTTTAAGCTGAACATAAAAGAGTCCCATGAAGTGCCTTCTCTGAAATCAGACCTCCTCTGTCAGGCTGGGCTGGGTGTAATTAGTCGTGACAGCACTGCTGGGTCACAGGCAGGTTCTGCCCACATGGGACAAACTGTCTGTGCATCAGCACGTCAGCTCAGACAATCTTGGCAAACAAATCACTGTGATGCCCAACTCTGAGCCTGCATTACTGCCTTGTCACAATAAATTTTGTTATATCAAGTGGAAATCCAGACCAATGAACTGTGACTGGATAAGCTTTTACATTTGGTATGTCTCAAGATGTGTTCTGTGAGCAGAGGGACAACCTCGCTCCTGTTCCATCTCTTCCTGGTCCCATGGCTTTGTCTTGCTACTTCCATAGGGTGGGTGGAGAGAGGGTCCTTCCCAAACCATCCTGCTGCCTGGAAGCAGCCTTTTGGGACAATACACAGAAGACACCTGAGGTCTGACTTTCTCTGAGGCTTATTTGTGACAAGATGCCCATCTACACAGTTGTGGTCCTTCTGGAGAGGGGCAGAACTCCAGCAGCCAGGAGAGGACTCACGTTTCTGGAATGTCCATTCCACTATGGACTAGTGAGAGGTGCCCATGGTGGTCTAGATGAGGAAGTAATAACTGAGGGGGATGATGGGTGGCCCTGGGACTGAGACAGAACACCAGAATGCAGCCAAACCAGGCAAAAGGATCCCTCCCACTATGTCAACGAGAGCCCTGGAACAAAGGCTCCTCCATAAGAAATATGCATTGGAGAAGAGAAGAAACACACATATATTTGATCCTATTTCCTTATAATATGGGGGCTCCCGTGCAAAAGGGACTCACCTCCTTCGGGCCTGTAAATATGCTGTGTCCACCAGCTGCCTGGCCTCACTGATGATGCTCAGAAGAGACGAGTCTGACAGCACCTCTGAGACCTCTGCTCAGGAAAAAAAAAGAGAAGGAAAAGCAGAACTTGAGGGTGCCGTGTAATGTACCCCAGGAGCAGCAGCTCCCACACCTTTGCTGGGTGTTGTGGTGCTCTGATCCGCCTCACACGCCGTTCCCACGGGGTGTTCAGTGACACCTGCACACCCTTGTCTGTGGTTCTCCTGCTCATCTGCCTCATTGTTGAGGTCCTGATAGTCACAGTCTTTGTTCTGGTGGCTTTTGGAGGCTTTTAGGGAGCTATTTTTCACCCTTTTTTTTTCCTGAAGCTGCTAGAAGCACAGACTCTGCAAGGTTGGAAAAGACCTCTGAGACCATGGAGTCCAACCATTAACCCAGCACTGCCAAGGCAACCACTAGTGCCACATCCACAGGCTTTTTGAGCACCTCCAGGGATGGTGACTCCACCACTGCCCTGGGCAGACTGTTCCAATGCTTTCCATGAAGAAATTGTCCCTCATAGCCAACCTAAACCTTCCCTGGCACAACTTGAGGTCGTTTCCTCTCATCCTGTCCCTCATTCCATGGAAGCAGAGCCCGACCCCCCCAGCTCCCCCCTCCTGTCAGGGAGTTGCAGAGAGTGAGAAAGTCCCCCTTGAGCCTCCTTTTCTCCAGGCTGAGCCCCCCCAGCTCCCTCAGCTGCTCCTGCTGCTCCAGCCCCTTCCCCAGCTATTCTTCCCCTCTCACAGGAAATAATAAATGCATACAAGAAGCCAAAAATATGATCTCTGAGCCATGACCCTTGTCACTAAAGGGTGATCATATGCTTGGAAAAGCTGTTGGTTAAATCAGGAATTTCTTTCAGGAAATTTCTTAGGTATTTACTTCAGTGTCAGTGGGTCAATCTCCAGGATACTGCAGTTGTTTGTTGGAGCTGTATCTCACTGGGAACTCGGGCTGAGTTTCCATTCACACCCTTCCCAGCACAGCAGCAGCCAAAGGACAAACACAAACTCACCATTCAGTGAGGAGTCCATGGCCCCGACCAAGCAGAGGGTGATGATGGATCCTAAGAGAGTCATTCTTGGGTTTATGCCTGGAGAGAAATGCAACACAAATCCTCTGGATGGGCAGGGCTTCACTGAAGCATCAGGAGAGGTTTGGTTTGAGTATCTCTTTCAGGATCCAGGAATAAAATCCAACTGCCCTCTCTCCAGCTCCGTCAGCAGGACCTACAGAGGTGTTGGCAGCACACAAGGACATCCCTGTGGTGTGGGACCTTCAGGAAACTGGGCTGAGGAGCTACCAAAGAGGAGGCAGCCAAGTACAGTCCAGCTTCAGTGACGGAGAATGTTGGGAAGGCGTGATGAAAGAGGGAAGTGTCCTGCTGGCCTGACTTCGGGAATGTCCACAAGTGGCTGGTGGAAAGGAGGTTGATCCCACACATCCCTCTCTGCCCCCTCTGTCTTGCTACTGAACAAAACTTGCCACACCTATCACCAGTCCTCCAGCCTCCAACCTCCCCTCTCAGCCTTCCTACTGCTCTCTGAAATTTGAAATTCTGAAATTTGAAATTTTGAAATTCCTTTCCCCCATAAACACCAGAAGTCTGTCCTCCTCAGTGTCTCTCACCAGTGTCTTCCCTCAAAGGGGATTTTTAGCCAAAACGTTGCCATTAGACCTCTTTTAAGTAATTTAGTCAACATTTTAACGTTTTGGAACAGGGAAGACAAACAAAATTTGGAAGAACTAATGATTTTCTCGCAGTGGAGAAGGTTATCTTATTTTTTTTTTTTTTAAATCCTTCAACCATCTTCCTGGGGATTGAAAGCTGCTTATTCCTTGCGATTTGATATTGCAGGGTATTGCTGCACGAGGCAGGGAAGCTGTCTTTGCTCACTCCTCCCAATAAATTCAATAAATATCAGGGGAGAAGCAATTATGAAGGACCAGCAGCTCCTAATGCTCTACTCTGCCTCCCGTCTCCTTGGGAGATGGAGCCCTGGAATGCACCAATATCCACACCAGAAATATCAGATACAAATATAAAATGAAAAGGCATTGATCTTACCTGCCATCTCTGCAGCACTGGCAGGGCTGGGAAACAAGCCAGACCTTTATACACCTGCACCAGGGCAGAAATGAGCTGGGTCTGACCTGGGCGTGGCCAGAAAGGGAGAAATTGGGACCACAGCGAGCCAAGAGGAAATATCTGCTGGTTTGCTTTCCTGGAATAAGCTGAAAAGTGCCCACTCCTCCGTTCCCTCTGAGTAAACGCTGACTTCCTTTTTGAAAAATCAGAAAAAGAAGGATAAAGACACTCATTTCTTACCTGCAATTGAGAGATGAGCTTAACTTTATGATGGTAAAAGATAATGGTGGAATTGGACTTCTTTTTCCCTGTTGGTTGGCTGATTAGAACTGCTGATTAGCGACGGTGACAAAGGCTGGACAAAGAACGAGGCAGCTGCAGGACCGAGAGGTCTCCAGGAAAATCCTGTGAATAGAAATATGGACAATCCCAAAGTTCTAACTGTGCCAATGCCCAGAAAGGAACAAAGTGCTGAGCACTTCAACGTGAATTATGACAGGGTGGTTAGGAAGGAATTCCTGGCTGTGAGGGTGGGGGGGCCCTGGCACAGGTTGCCCAGAGAAGCTGTGGCTGCCCCATCCCTGGAAGTGTCCAAGGCCAGGCTGGATGGGGCTTGGAGCAACCTGGGCTGGTGGGAGGTGTCCCTGCCCATGGTAGGGGGTGGAACAAGATGATCTTTAAGGTCCCTTCCAACCCAAACAAGTGATTCAATGATATACAGGAGGAAAAGGGGCAGTACTTCAGTGGACTAACGGGAAGGCAGCAGAAATCCTGTAATCCTTCGGACATCAGGGAGCCTGATAACAAAAGACAATGCTGAATTCTTACTGACAGTCAGCCTTGTAAATCTCCCAGGATTAGGGAGCCAGTCCTTCCTACTGTTTAAATATTTTCACAGCTCTTATCAACCCAAAATAAATAAATAAAAAAAGAATATATGAAAAAGGAAACTGCCACTGAAAAGACACCATTTTAAATCTGAATAAAACAAAAAAAAGAAGACGTGTGGTGACCGGGTTTTCAGAAGGTGAACATCCAAAGTCAATATTTCTCCCCTAAAGAGAATTTCAGAGCCAAAGCAGAAGGTGGCCCCTGGCACCAGAGGGTCTCTGATCACCCTGCCAGGCGCTCCACCTTGTCCATCCAGCTTTCTGCCCACAGAACACGCACAGGCAGAAGTCCAGGTACCTGCCGGGTGGTTTTGCTACTTCTTTTGTATCTGTGACATGTATCAGGGCAATGGCATTGGTGCCTCTGCTGAGGACACTGCCCTGCCTGACCACCCAGGAACCACTTGGCCAGTCCCTGAGCTGGGGCCAGGGGCCCTCCCCAGTGGGAGGCCACAGGGATGGGGTGAGGGACACTCAGAGGCACAGCAGGAGCCAACAACCCTCAGACTATGAGGGTATAAAAACCCAGGGTGTCCTTCAGTCAGGGGCCCTTCCCAGAGGCACCAGCTCGAGCTGTTGCTCTGTTGTTGCACCGGGATCAAATTATTTTAAGGATCTGGATCTCTGAGACTCTGCCTTGGGAAACCTGGGGCGGAGCTGGTGAGGAAACCTAGTGTGACTGGGGTGTGTGGAGAGTCAGGTGGGGTCACTGGAGCTGCTCCCACGGGAAGGGGCTTCGGTCCCAGTTCAGGTGGTGTGAGCACTAAAAAGTAATTTTAACTCTTTCTGGATAAAGGGAGTGACAGCAACAGCAAGGGATGCTCAGGAGGTGGCACCACAGCATCACTGAGGTGGTCACTTGAGGGGTGTCCCCAGCTGTGTGATGCCCAGGAGTGAAATTATCACCTCTCTTTGAAGCCCTCCTTTAAAGACTCAGCTCCCAAGGCTATGAAGCCTCTTTGGTGCATCCTTCCATCTGCCATGGAGACACTTCATAGCCACTGCAAGGTGCTCCAGGAAAGTCTCTCACGGAAACAGGTGAGCCCAACAGCCTGGGAATACACCTGGGAATGACCAGTGAGGTCAGGCTGCTTGGAGTCTCTTTCCAGACCTACTTCAAGAAGCAGACGAAGTGTCCAGGGCAGGAAAGCTGTGGAAAACCATCTGTGACTTTCCAGTACAGTGGTAGGACCCACCACACCCACCAGGACAAGCCACTGCACGTCCACCCATGGAAAGAGCTCATCTTACAGGGCCAAAATGAACTCCTGTCCTGAGCAGCAGCAAGAAACTTCTTCCCTATGGAGAATTCTTCCCTGGGGAGTGGGCCCTTATTCCCCTTCCCATGGACCAAACTCCCTCCCTCTCCCTGAATAAAACCTTCAGCTCCTCCTCATGAACCAAACTTCTTCCTGCCCCACCCTTTAGCAAACCCCTCTTCCACCCCTTCCCCTTCTCTTCCAGACTGTGACCCAGACTGGAAGGTGGGACATGACTTCTCTGGAGGTGGGGCTGGCAGGACTAGAAGGAGACCTCAGCTGCCTCTTGTGCCACACAGCACGATGGTTTCTCCATTTTCCATGTAATCTTCCTGCTGTGGAATCAGTTCCCATCTTTTCTGGAAACCTGGGACATGGCAGAAGCAGTTGTCAGGCCCCTGGAGAGACACTGGGAGAACGCTTGGCTTCAAATGCTCCAGAGATCTATTCAGGAAAAGGAAGAATGGAAGAAGCTTCAGGTCTCACTGCAGTTTTCATTGTGCCACAGAGCTGGGAGATGTGGGAGTCAGCCACTGCCATGGACACTTTTCCCTGGACCACAGCTTAACCTCTAGAGAGGCTGGATGTGTGAATAGATGTAGAAAGGATCACGAATTCTGTGGTTTGGTTCAGTGCTTCAATGCTTAACCCTGTGAAGGAATGTCTGTATGGACAGAGCTTGCAGGGGTTCACTGGTATTCCCAAGGCATAATGTTGATCCTCATGTGGATCCTCTGGATCATCCTATGCCATTGTATGGCAACAGGGACATGCTGGTTTATGGGGAGGGCAAAGTGTCTTTACCATGGCACCAAGAGATGGGATGCAGCAGTGGATCACGGAATCACAGAATCATTTATGTTGGAAAAACCCTTTAAGGCCATCAGGGCCAACCAGTCCCCCAGCACTGCCAAGGCCACCATTAATGATGTCCCCAAGTGCCACATCTTCACATCTTTTAAATACTTCCAGGGATAGGGACTCCACCACTGCCCTGGGCAACCTGTTCTAGGGCCTGACCAGAAATTTTTCCCAATATCCAACCTAAACCTCCCCTGGCACAGCTGGAAGCTGGTTCCTCTTGTCCCTGGTTGTAACACTGTGTGCTGGGTCCAGCAAAGCCGCTGCTCGGGCAGGGCTGTCCCTGTTCTCTGAAACTCAGAAGAACAAAGAGTGAAAACGAGAGTCTGAACCTTTTGTTGAGGAAGAAGCTCTGTCTCCTGACACACCTTGTGGTTTTCTGTATTGCATAACACTGCAAAGTGTCATTTATTACAAGAGAAGAGCTGTCAGCTCTCTGTTGAATTCCGACTTTTCTATAAACACATCCCGTTCTTTCTACCAGGCAAGATTGTTTTGTCTGTAAATATCACAGGAATTGTAGGTTCTTTGCCAATGACACAAGATTAGAGAAGTAAATTCTGACCAGTGTAATGAAAGTGGGAGTCCAGCCAGGATGCAAAACCAGCTGGGGGATACAGTGTCCACCAGTCTCCTCCAGGCCCTTCTGTTGGAGCTCTCCAGACCACACCTTTCACCCTCCTTCAAATCACTCTTTCAAGCTCTGGTCCCCTCCAACCCCCTCCATTAGGGTACCACTGATCTCCAGGTCCCTCTACTCCTACTCTGGTTCTCTCCAGGTCCTTCCATTGGGGTCTGGACCCATCCCATCCTTTTCATAGGCACTGTGGACCCCCCAGAGATGTCGTTTTGGGGTCTGGAAACGTGCAGGTCCCCGATGGTAAATCCTCACAGGAGGACATGGGGTGCCAGTGACATATCAAAGCCCAGTTCTTGGACACAACTCTGGGAGTTCAAAGAGGGCTTTGGATGAGTTCCCAGAGCCAGCTGCCACCAAACCAAGGATACTGCTTCCAGGACTGTCCTCCAAATAGGATATTTATGCTCCAAAGAGGAGGCCTTGCTCAGCAAGGATTCCTTCTCAACACCCACCTTTTCCCTGCTCTGCTCATTCCTCTGTTCCAAAAGCCAAAAGGCAGCAACCTGGTGAGAACCACACAAGTCTGGAACATCTCCTGCCAGCTGCAGGACAGAACCTGAGGGCCCCTGGCTCAGGCTGCCTCCAACAGCAACATCTGGACATGCTGTGACAGAGGCAAATGTAGGTATTTTGGGAGAGAGGGCATGGAGGAGGCTGGGATGTTCTCGAGAGACTGGGGATGGTCATCCAGGGACAAGTTTCCTGTTGGATACAAGGAGATGAGATGGGACATAGACCTCCCACCATGTCCACCCAGTGTTGCCACCACTGGTGCTGTGGCCGGTGCCCCGTTCCCGTTGCCAGCACTGCAGGGACAACGTGTCAGCCTTGGCTCTGTGCAGGGACAGCAGCACCTGTGCTGGGGGTGCTGGATGGCAGAGCCCACATCCAGGGTGGGAGCAGGTCCCGTGGTGTCCCCTGGGGCCGGGTGACAGCCAGGGGCTCCTGCAGGGACACACTGTGCCAGCTGCTGTGATGGCCGAGTGGTGAAGGCGTTGGACTTGAAATCCAATAGGGTTTCCCTGCGCAGGTTCAAGTCCTGCTCACAGCGGGAGTTTTACTGCCAGGAGGGACAGAGGGACACAGAGCTGTCATCCCTCCTCGAGAGACACTGCATTCCCACCCTGGCCCTGGCCCTGAGCTCCCAGGGACCCTTTACTTTTAGGTGATGTCAGGCCACCAGGTACTGTTCAGGGGAGCAGCTCTTCTTATCACAGGAAGAAATCCTGCAGTGGCATGTCCACCCCACACAGCCCTGTCACCCCCCTGCCTACACTTGCGTGTCACCCTTCTCCGTATAGATGTGTCACCCTGCTCCCTACACCTGTGTCACCCCGTTCACCACAACTGTGTCACCCTGCCATGACAGCTGTGTCACCCTTCCTCCCACAGCCCATACCCTGCTCCCTACAGATGTCTCACCCTGTTCCCTATAGACCATCACCCTGCTCCCTACAGCCATGGGACCCTGTTCCCTACAGCTGTGTCACCCTTCCTCCCACAGGCCATACCCTGCTCCCTACAGATGTGTCACCCTGTTCCCTATTGATGTGTCACCCTCCTCCCTGCAGTTGTGTGACCCTCGTCCCTATAGGTGTCACCCTGCTCCTTAGAGATGTGTCTCCCTGTTCCCTGTAGATGTGTCACCCTGCTCCTTACAGCCACATCACCCTTTTCCCTATAGATGTGTCACCTGCTCCCTAAAGTTGCTCCCTACAGTTGTATCACCCTTCTTCCCACAGCCCACACCCTGCTCCCTACATGTCACACCCAGCTCCCTATAGACCCTCACCCTGCTCCCTACAGTGTCACCTGCTCCTTACAACAGTGTCACCTGCTCCCTGCAGCTCTGTCACCCTCTTCCCACGGCTTCCCTGCTTCCCACAGCTGTGTCACCCTGCTGTGACAGACTAAATTTTGTTTAAACAAACTGTTCTAGCCCTGTGATTTATCGTGTCCCTGATGGCCAGACACTAATGTCTTAAACACAGTGTTTTAGAGAGATAAGGGGGAAGGCCAATTAGAAGTAGATCCTGAGGAGATGAGGTAATTTTTTTTGTCCTGCTAATTACCTCCCTTCCCATGATGATGACACCAGATCAGCACAACAAAACAGGGACCAAAAGAGGCCAAACAGGGATAAACAGCATCATAGCATTAGAAGGGGCTCCATAAACCATCAAAGACCCCAAAAGCACCCCCAGACTCATTTGCACAGTGTCACATCAGACAGTGTAAAACTCCTCCCCAAGGGAGGTGTCAGGGCATTCCCACATAAGCCAGAATATGTAGAACTCATGTAGAACTCTTTACTGCTCTCTACATCCGTGTCACTCTGCTCCCTATGGCAGTGTCACCCTGCTCCCACATCCATGTCACCCTGCTCCCTATGGCAGTGTCACCCTGCTCCCTATGGCAGTGTCACCCTGCTCCCTATGGCAGTGTCACCCTGCTCTGTACATTCATGTCACCCTGCTCCCACATCCATGTCACCCTGTTCCCTATGGCAGTGTCACCTGATCCCTACAACCCACCACAGGCTCATGGCTGCCCTTCTCCGAGGTATTTTTCCACTTGGAGGTTCAGCCTGATGGCACTGGGAGGACAGGAGGCTCCTGCCAACCCCCAAAATTCATCCCACCCTGACCCAGCCCCATGTCCTGGGTGTGGGAGCTGCTGAACCTCGTGCTAAACTGAACCCTGGGAGCTGCTCCAGGGCTGTGCAGATATCCAAGAAAAGACTGGGACCTGCAGAAGCCCCTTCCCTGGCTGGGAATCGAACCCAGGCCGTGGCAGTGAGAGTGCCAAATCCTGACCACTAGACCACCAGGGATGGGTGGTGACCAGGGATGAATTACCACCGACAAGGATCAGTGGCCACCACCAGGGATGAGTGGCCACCACCAGGGATGAGTGGCCACCAACAGGATGACCTGCTGGTAGCACCAAGCAAGCCCTGAAGAGACAGGGACACTTGGTCCCACCTCTGCAAGCCTGGGAAGCAGGAGGTGGTTATGCTGGGACCGACCACCACCCAAGGCAGTTTTGGGGAAGGCAATGATGGCAAATGGTTCAAGAAAAGGCGTAGCATCCTCTGGGGGCTCACCAGGGAGGTTCAGCCCTGCTGCTGCTGGATCATGGACTCCCTTGGGGCTGCTCTACATTGCCAGGCTCATGTGACACACGCACACGGGGCACAGGTGATCCAGCACCATGTTCACAACAATCCTGACTCCCAGTGCGGTCCCAGAGCTTCCCCAAAGTCACCTCAGGAGGAAAACAATGTGTAGGTGCAGAATGACTGTCAGCAGAGCCTTCCCTGGGTGAGGGAAACAAGTCTGAGCCCTGGCACTGGGCTGGGAGTGTGTCTGGAGTCCCGGTTCCTGCTGGTTTTGAGGTAACAATGTTGGCAGCTTGTTTTTTCCAGGAGAAAGGAGCAGGCTGGAACCATCTTTTGGTACGTAATCAGGAGCTGTGAGGAGCAGGTGATCAGTAGGTGATCCTGGTTTCCAGAGAGTCCTTGGAGGGAGCAAGGACTTCTGCCTTCCTTTAACCCACAGAAGGAAAATAAAGAGGTTTCCTAATGAACAGGAAGGTGGAAGGGGCTGGAAATGGCCCCCTGACTCCCCAGGGATTTGGTACCAGCATGGGCAGCAGACAGGGCACTGCAGAGCCCCAGATCCCTGCCCAGGACAAGGAGCCCAAGGGAGAGCCCAGGGCTCAAGGGGACAGTGCAGGTGTCACCTGTCCCTGCCCCGCGGGCTGTGTGCAGGGAGGAGACGCCCAGAGGGGAGCACGGGGGGTTTTCCAGTGGGGATGTCCCTGGGGCAGGGCTCCTCAGCAGGTGGATGAAGTGGAGGTGAACGGAAAGGCTCCAGGAACGCTTCCCGAGCAGGACGGCAGAGGGCCCGGTGCTCCTCGGATGCTCGTGCGTGGCTGGGAGGGGAAGTAAACGGACAGAGAGAAAAATCCCTCTGGTTTTCACAGAGTGGGGAAACCTCCCCTGTGCCTTGCCTTGTCCCGTGACGCTGCCAAAAAACGGCCAGTGTAGCTCCTCTCTCCATCTGAGAGCAAACCCTACCACGGTCCCCTTTCCCGCAGCCCTTCCATGACCTGCTCTGGGGTCCCAGTGGGATCTCTGGCATCCCGCTCCCTGCGGTGCCCTGGTCTCTTCCCAGGTTTCCTTGCAGTGCCTGGTGGATCCCAGCTGCCACCTTTACCAACACCTTTCCCTGGGGAGCTGCAGCGCAGGGAGCAGGAGAGGGCAAAGGGAAGCCGCGGCAGCTTTGGGGGAGTGCAGAGCAGGATGAGGAGGAGGAGAGCGGGGAGAAGGGTCACCCTCCCACGAGAGCCGGCCTGGAGCAAGGACAGAGCCGCGGTGGATGGGCTGACACATCTCCAAGGCTCGGGCATCTCTGCCGCGAGGGTCAGGGCTTGAAGAATGAGCCTCCAAAAAACCCCTGCACAGGGCAAACCCACCCCCCGAGCGAGGGGCACGGGGATTGTGCCATCCCGCAGGGATGTCGGGAGCGGCAGGAGGGAGATGTGCGGGGCTGGGCCGGGCTGAGGCGCGGCCGCTCCGCGCTTGCAGAGCCGCAATCCGATGTCACGGTTTCGGTCGCCTTTCGGAGCCGAGACAGAGCTGAGCTGCGGTCGGGGGAGCGTTTGTGTCTCTCTGTGGTTTCTTAGATCTCGATGGGGCCCTGTCAGATGTTATGTCACAGGCAGTTCCTCCGTCTGCCGGCAGATCCGGGCGCAGCAAACAGGTTAGTTCCCGTGTCCCGTGTCCCAGTCTCCGTCTGGGATGGGAGGGGAGCCACTGCCACCCACCAAATGCAACCAGGAGGTGACACAGCCCAGGAGCTGCGTGTTGGAGCCCAGGAGTGTGCGGGGCCATGTGCTGAGGCAGGTGGGGATCACATAATAACTCACTTTCTACAGGCACTGCTCCTTGGAAAGAGAAGTCCCAGCCCCAGGATGAGCCTTGGGGCAGCAGGAACAAGGCTCAGCTCCAAATGCAATTGCTGCTGTGGTGAGGAGATGAGAGGGAGACCTGTGGGCTTGCTGTGCACCCCTACATGGGTGTGGAGCACCAACAAGTTAGCCAATCCAACAGGATAATTGCAGTTCTGGAGTATGTGCAACATGGGAGTAGCATTAAATAACCCCTCTCCCCATCTCCAACAGTGGGAGAATCCCTTGGCTTATGCCAGCTGAGCTTTAGTCCCTTGCAAAGCCTGAGCACCTGCAGCCTGTTGCTGTGCTGCTCCCAAGTGCCACCACCAGGTATCTGTGACAGCTTTGTGGTGTCGGGCAGGTGGTTCATCTCCAGCTCCTGCTCATGAGGGATGGAGCCCTCAGTGTCCCCAGGACACCACCAGCCCCAGCCCCAGCCCTGGGAGGATGAGTTAGAAAAGCCATGGGCATTTGTTCCTGCCAGAGGGTCCCTGGCACAGCCCTGGAGACCCTCCTGCAGCACCCCACGGGGACACCACGGGGAAGGGGACACTGTGGGGAGGCAGATCCAACACACCCAGACACTGGGAGGTCTAAGAGTGCCCCACACAGACCCACGAGGTGTGCTGGGGAGGAGGGTGGGAGCAGAGCAGCCCTGCAGTCCCTGGTACAGCCCTGGGGCCCCGGGGCAGTGAGGAAATCCCAGGAACACGAGCTTGTGGTGCCTCATGAGCAGCAGCTGGGCTGGCACTGGGCAGGAAAACACCCCAAGGAACCACAGTGAGCTGGCAAACTGGGGGCCTGTTGCCAAGAAGAGAGAGGTGGCAAAAGGGGAAATGCTCCCTGGGGCATCCAGGGGAACCCATCTTGTCATGGCAAAGGCAGTGCTGAGAGCCTCTAGGCAGACACACCACGAGCCCCATGACTGGGCACAAGGGACTGAGGTCTCTGGCACAAGAGCTGGTCCCTCTCTACTCCCCGGGCAGGGGAAGCTCCTGCTCTGCCCTCTGCACCCCACCCTGTACCAAACCCACACTGGCACTTGGAGATGATGCAATTTGTAGAGCCAGCCCTTGGAGTTGGGATTCCCAGGCACTTCCCTCTGTGGGGGTGTTCGGAGGGGGTTGGGTGCCCTGAGCTCCACACTGGAAGCTCAGCATTGAGGGGTTTGTGCTTTATGGTGCCAAGACTGCCAGCCCAGACCTACAGCCAGTCTCCAGGGTGCCAGCCACCCTTGCTGCCTGCACAGGCAGCACGACCGAGTGTTCCTGCTGCCCACGCTGCCCACGCTGTCCCCCTGCATCCACCTTGGACACCTCCCACCCGCACCACTGGAGCAGGGACCCCCTGGCTGGACCTGCACTGTCCACAGGCCATTTTGAAGGTCTCAGCACCCTTGTCCTCCCTGCCTGGGTGCCTGACTGAGCCGAGGTCCTCCAGGTGCTCCAGGGAGGATGCTGAGATCAGTTTGATAAGCTCAACTCTCCTGTTGGATGATCGAAGTGTGAACCTGCTGCTCGAGGCTGATTTCATATCCTGTCTTAGTCAGTGGGTGCTGATTTTCTCAGACTTACCTCCCCTCACACCAAGGCTATTCTGGTACTTTCTAGACCAGCTGCTTCCTCTTTTTTTCAGCATTTTGGAGGCAAAGGTGCCATGACATCAGCTCTTGGAAATTCTGAGTGTTTGATCTGATATCTGACTGACAGGGCTGGCCACTGTCCCTATAAAAGCAAGAGTTGAACCAGCACCTCACACCAGGCACAAGAGGAACCTGCTCTGGTCCTGCCTCTGCCCCTGCAGCTCATCTCTTTCCAGGATGAAGGTCTCCACCCTTTGCCTCTCCATCATCCTCGTCGCTGCCCTCCTGTCTCAGGTGTCTCCTGCTCCATGTGAGTACAGCATCCCTCTGCTCTCTTGGGGTGGATTTTTGCTCTGACTGCCTGTAATTTTGGAGCAGAACTGGAAAAAATTCAGCTGCAAAGGTTGGAAACCTGTGTGAATATCTTCCCCTGCTTTAGTGGCACTGGTTTTCCCGTCTAGCATCCTTTTACCTTAGGGATGAATTTTACTGGCATCAAAGTTTTCAGGTTTCATCTCCCCTAATTTTTTTGCTGGACTTTAAAATTGATCCCAGGGTAACCAAAGGGATTTTTATCATGGGAATTAAGTATAAGACATTTAAGAACCTGTCCCAGCAATGGCATTAATGAAGCTTTGGTATTCACAGCAATTTCTTGCTGATTTTCTGGGGAAACAGGAGGAGGAGAAGTGGCTGCCCAGGTGATTAAGGGGTTTGCCCATGCTCTCAGCTGGGGAATGTGCATTTATTGAGTGGTGGTCTCAGGCTGGATTTCCTCATCTCTTCCAGTGGGGTCTGACACCACTATCTGCTGCTTTGGCTACACCCCACGGAAGCTGCCCCAGAATCATGTGAAGGAATATTTCTACACCAGCAGCAAGTGCCCTCAGCCAGCAGTTGTGTGAGTACCAGCTCCTGCTCTGGGCTCTCAGGGAAGCTTCTGCCAGCCTCTGGGCTTCCCATCCAGTGGGACCAGGAGCAGGGTGGGGTGAGATCCCACACCTGGAGGAAGGGAATGGAGCAGCCACCCAGGTCCCCTGTGCAGTGTGTGAGCCCTCACCCTCCTCAGCTGAGAAATAAGTGGTCCCTTAGTCTCCCTGGACAGTCCTGGTGCTGGGAATAAGGCATGGGAAGGAGGTGAGGAACCAGCAGGACTTTGCAGTGGTGATGAGCCCAATGCACAGAACATTCCACGCTGCATCCAGGCTCATCTCTGCACTGGAACATCCAAGAATGGGGGGTTCTCCCAAGGGACCTTGATCCCCCCCTGCCCCCTGGGTTTTAGCAGCTGCCTGATGCTTGGGGCTTTGTGGGAGATGATCCAAAGAGGTGACCCAGGTCCCTCATGGTCCCTTTTCTGCCTTGGCAGGTTCATCACCCAGAAGAACCGGGAGGTCTGTGCCAACCCTGGTGCCAGGTGGGTGAAGGAATACGTGGACAGCCTGGAGCTGCACTGAGCCCTGGGAGCTCAGAATTCCTGCCAGTCCACCTGGCAGAGCTTGGCACACACCTAGAAACGCTGCTGCTGAGCACCAGCACCTGCTGAGCCACCTTGGAACCCCTGAAGTTCCTTTTGCCTTGCAAAGGGGTCATTTATCCACGATGATTCAGCCCCCCTTGGGACAGCTGTGCTGCTGGGGACCTCCTGCCCTTGCAGACCCATCTTGGTGTCCCCTGCTGGGTGACCTGTGGCTAAACTGAGCCCCCCTTGTGCCTCCACTGCTAGAATGGGAGGGGAATTTCACCCCCAGAGCTCTTTGTGGGTGGTGGTCTGTTGGAATTAGGTCTGAGTGCTGTCAGCTAAACCCAGGCAGGGTTCTAAAGCTGGGTGAGTTTTGTCATGGCTCAGTAGATGCTGTGGGTAAGATCTGTCTCCCTGGGGGAGGAAGTGGTACCCTGGTTACTTACAGGATGCTTGTTGTGGAACCACAATGTTCAGCCTTGTTCTCAAACCTCTGTCTCTTGCCAATGCCAAAGAATAAAGTTGTTTTCTCTCTGTCTCAGCTCTGGTTGTTCCCCTCCTGCTTGGAAAACGGGGCCAGTAGGACCCCACTACAACCATCTGGGGAGAGGCAGGGGAAGAACCCCAACTTCCCAGCTGGAAGTGCCTCAGCCTCCTTAGCCCTAAAAGCCTTCCCTTCTGCCTGGCCTCCTGCTCTTGGAGCAGCACCATCCCGGCACCTCCCAGCACTGTCCCTTCCCAGCCCCTGCTCTGATGTGGAGACAGAACTTTCCCCCAGCCCTTCCCCTTTCCTTTCCCCCATATCATAGCCAAGGCTGGGATCTGGTGGGGCTTTCCCACTGCTTTCCAGCCAGGACCACATCCCCCAGCACAGGTTCCTCTGGGAATGCAGCCTGAGCCAGGCTCAGCTCTGGGGATGATGCTCCATTAGTGTTTCATTTCAAGACAGGCACCAATTCCCTTTTGCTCTGCAGCTTCTTGGGGTAGGAAGCCTGAATTCGGTTTAAAAAAGCTCAAGAAACGTTTTGCACCAAGTAAAACCAACAAAGGTACTTTATCAGCCTGTGGTTGCCATTTAGAACTGGCTGATAACTTTGTGGGTAGAGAACGAAACTGCCGGTCCCCCCTCCCTGTGCTGGGGCTCTGCAGGGCCACGGGGACTGTTCGGGGTTGTCTCCATCAGAGTTTGGCTGAAGCAAAAGCCCAGAAGCTTTTGTATCATCCCTTGGCCAAGAGTGTCCCACCTGGCAGCTTGTGCAGGTCAAGTCTTCACCTCCCAGGACATTTTCCGCCCTTTTCCACTCCATCAAACCCCAGAGCAATTCCTCAGGCCCTCCTCGTTGCCAGCAATAAATGACCCCCCTCAATTAGGGCCAAGCAAACCAGCAGGAAAAAAAATGTCCATAAAACAACCCCAAGCCCTGTTGGTGCCACGATGGTCTGAAGATGTTCAGGCTGTCTCCTGATCTCTCCTTGCTCATCACCAGCTCTCTTGTTAATTAAGCAGCATTTCCTGATGCAGTTCCTTTTTGAGAGCCTCAAAGTCTCTATTTCTGGCAGGACCCAAGGCCTGCAGGGTGGGCAGGGTGGGAGCTCAGAGGGAGGGGAGAGGGTCAAGCTTCTATTTTACATCCCTGCAAAGCAGCTCTGTGGCAGAGGGGACCCTGGGACACAGCCTGGCAGTGCTGTGGAGGGAAGCAGGGAAGGGATCAACCACGTCTCCCTGAGCAGGAAAATAATCAACCAGTGCTGGTGTTGGTTTGTTTTCACACCATGGCTATTTGAGCACTTCACAGAGAGCTTTTAAGCACAGCTACCCCTCAATTATAGGGGGGAAACTGAGGTCAGGCTGGGTCAGAGGGGCTGAGGGGACCAGCACCCCCCATGAGGGCCACAGGTCCCACTTTGCTGCTCACAAACAAGAGGAAATCAGCCCACGACACCAAAATAGTTCCTTTGGAAGAACCTGGGCTAGCCCTGAGCTCCCAGAGCACTGAGGGACCAGGCAGGGGTGGCCATGGCAGCACATCCCCAAAAAATTCACAGATGCCTTTACCCAGTCAGAGCCTGGGGCAGGGCAGACCTGGCAGTTCTCCTGGTGGTGGAGAAACACCGATGGGAAAACTCATGGTGGGGAAGGAATGCACCAGGGCTGGGGAGTGTCCTTTGTGTGATCTCTATCTGGGGTGAGACAGCCAGCCCAGGGGAGGTGCTGGGACACCAGAGAAGGTCCCTGGTCAGACCAGGCTCTGCCTCAACTCACTGGTGGCTCCAGCAGGGAGGAGAAGGGCCACAGACCACAGACCCCAGTGGCCACCGTGGAGCCTGTGGTTGGTGGCCCCTGGGCAGGCACTGCCTGGGTGCTGCCCTGCTGCACACTGAGCTCAGCTGGGAGCTCTTCCTCACCTGTGCTGGGGTCCTGCACTCCACAGGACACTGGGAACATCCTCTCATCCTCCCTCCACAGGGCTCATCCCATCATCAGAGTGGGAAGGTCCTTCTCAGCCATCTCCTCACCACTGGAAATCATCTCTCCTCGCCAGGACTGAGCCATGGCCAATCCCAGATAACACCCCAGCCTGTCCCACTCTTGGTGCCAAGACAGAGAAGGATTTATGGGGCAGAGCCAAAGGCTTCCTGCCTGTGCAGGAGCCCATCCCCACAGAGCTGCTGCACCTGCTGGGGGGGTACAAACAGTCCTTCACGTGCTTCCTGCAAAACTTCTGCCAAGGGGATGTGATTCAGCCTGTTCCTCAGGCATTCCAGGTCCATCACGAGCCTTTCTTCCTCCAGGAGAGAAAAAAACAACCCAAGGACAGAGGTTCTGCACAAAAAGGGGTGTCAGGCACAGCTGCCCAGGGCAGTGGTGGAGTCCCCATCCCTGGAGGGGTTTAACAGACTTGTGGATGTGGCACTTGGGGACATGGGTCAATGGTGGCCTTGGCAGAGCTGGGGGAACAGTTGGACTCAACTATCCTAGAGGTCTTTCCCAACCTGAATGATGCTGTGATTCCAGGTGAATTCACCAGGAGCAGAGCAGGATTGGGAAGGGAGGGCAGCAACAAGGAGAGAAACAAGACTGAAGCAGAGAGACAAGTTCCCATCAGGAGTTTGGTAGCCACACAGTCCATGTTTGTGCTTAGCACTGCTCCATCCAGCCCCCACTTTCCACAGGGAAGCACCAGTGTTGGGACATATAAATGGGTGGGTTTAGGAGAAAGGATTCTTGAGGAACGTGTTGCTGCTGGACTGTGATCAGTGCAGGTTAGAAAGATAAAAATCAGAGAGGCTGAGGCCAAGCCCAAACCATCAGCTGCCCAAAAGTGGCAGGGGGAGGTCGTGTCAGGATGTTTCTGATGGATTTGGGAGCAGGGACCAGCAGGGAGACAATGCAGATGTTGGGTCTGAGGGTCTCCATGGCTCCTCTCTCTTCCCAGGGCTTCTCTGAGTGAAGCTGGGAGAGAGGGGAGAGCCACAGGATTCCTGCTCTCAAATAGACCAGAGAGAACCAGACCACCCAGTGCTTTGCCCATGGCACCATGAGGGTCTCCAGACCTTCTGGTGCCTCTGCCATGGCAGGCACTGAAGGAAAAGCCCTCTGAGTGCAGCACTTGGAAACCGAAACCAGAAAGGCTGGAGAGGGAAATTCCCACAAGTGCCTGGGCACACGGCCAGGGACTGTCTGGAGAGGAGCCAGCTCTGCAGCACAGAGTCCTCCAGCCTCTCCAGCCTGGGCCTGGGATAAACCCCAGACACCCCCTGAATTCCCTTTCTCCCAGTCATCCATCCTCCATCCCCTCTCAGGGTCCCGTTAGCAGGACTATTTGGGGCTTCTGCAGCACCAAACTCGGGGTCAGGAAGGTCTCAGGGGTAGAGGAGACCCCCAGCACCCCCATCCCGGGCTCTTTGCCTGCTCCTGTCCATCCACCCCCCATGCAGGACCACTCTGCTCCCACGTTTCACTGGGAAGCCCCACTCAGGATACACCTCCCCGCGGATTTTCACCTCTCCATGTGGTCCCCCAGCCCAGAACCATCTCCTGGGACACAACCTGGTGCTGGGCTGGGCTGCCCTTCCCTGGGATGCTGCTCCTTGCATGTCCACGAGCCCTCCTGCCTGCAGCAGCTTCCCAGCCTGGAAAACACAGGACTGAAGAGAAGTCACAAGACAACGTGGTGGTACTTTCCCAACCTCAGAGTTGCCAAATCTGATCTATAGCTGCAGGGGGAGGAAAAATAAACACTGAGAAAAAGCTTTTTTTTGCCTTAGGAAGAAAACCAGGATGAAGGCCAGGCCAAGGCCAGCTCTGGACTGTGCTGGGGGGGCATTTGAAGGGGGACTGTAAGAAAGATGGGGACAAACTTTTTAGTTGCTGGAGGACAAGGGGAAATGGTTTCAAACTGAAGGAGGTCAGTTTAGGCTGGATACAAGGAAGAAATTGTTCCCTGGGAGGGTGGTGAGACACTGGCACAGGTTGCCCAGAGAAGCTGTGGCTGCCCCATCCCTGGAAGTGTCCAAGGCCAGGTTGGACAGGGCTTGGAGCAACCTGGGATAGTGGAAGGTGTAGGAGTGGAAAAAGATGGTCTTTAAGGTCTCTTCCAACCCAAATCCTTCTGGGGTTTCTCAGAGTGCAGGAGCTGAGGAGCACTGAATGATCCCAAGGGACAAGCTGTGCCCAGCACTGTGCTTCCCTCCTTGGGACTCGCTTCTTCCCATTCACATTCCCATGGAAAGCTGCATCCTGAAAACAACTCCAGCAGGTTTGCTGCTGGTTGTTTCACCCCTACAGCACAGTTGATCCCTTCCCTTTGTTTTACAGGTGGGAAAGTGAGGAACAACCCCCAGTGGGATGGTCAGAATGAAGGCTGGGGTTCCCTGCCCCTCTCCAGGCAGCAGTGCCAGGCTCAGCACCACTGCCAGGGTGGTGGGCAGAGATGGGGTGATGTGTCAGAGGAGCAGTGAGGAGAGACTGGAGACCTCTGACAGTGCATGGGTGG